CAGTCGGGGTTTGGGGGCGAGCCAACTGAGTGTGAGCCCGCAGATCAGATGGAGAGAGAGCCCTGACGAACTGATCACGTGCAAGCTCCGTTTGCACTGGCGTAGGCATATGCGCGTATGCTCGTCGTGTCAGTCCTTCGATGTCGTTTGCCAACGTGCGCAGGGATTCCCCAGTTCGCCTCTGACGTCCATGCAGCTCCGAGCGCAGCAGCTCTGAACGAAAACATTGTCCAAACCGGCGCCCTAGAGCACCAGCCAGGGCTCCATAATTACCCCTCTCACTCGGGTCCAAAAGCAGCAGGCAAGACAGTGCATCATCCGTCAAACAAAGGGCGAGCTGGAGGGCTTTCTGTTCATCTGACCAGCTGTTTGCACGAGCTAAAAGCTCGAACTGAGCATGAAAAGCCTCTCAGTCAGACTTCCTCGCATATTTTGGCGTTTTTATGCTCACCGGCACTCGCTGTCTCTGGGCGCCGCCATCTTTGTTTACGTTTTGTCCATGCACGTTCCCGGGCCGCAATTTTCCGCGCGCCGTGTAGCTAGCTTCAGCGCTAGCCGTCGCTAAGCCAGGACCCCCAGCGGATATTGGTGGCTGTAACTCACGTATCATCCCCCTTCCTAGACCGTCCACGGAAAAACGCTGACCTTCCAGCACTTGAACAGGACGAGGATATCCGTACTCGTTGTCCTCCTCCTCCTTCTTGACACAAAAACCTCTGCCAAAAGAACGCTCCATCTCCACCAGAAAAAGCGTCCACCAAACAGTAGTCCGCCCACGCCTGAGCGGTCGACTACGTTAACAGAATCAGTTAGTTTTCTTCTGACACCAGTTGTAACGTTTTGTGTCAATAAAGAGCCAGGTTCTTATCACTCGGGTTTATTGTTGCCTGTTGTCGGCCACAGCCACGCCATTTCACACACCCGGTCATCAACCTAGTCAGAACTCAACTTCCCCTTCCTGTGCTCCCGGAAACTACACACATTCCCCGGAAGGGGCGGCACCCCAACAATGGCCTACGTAACAGTAACATTCATCAGAGCCATATACATTTATGAACTTAAGGCACGCTACAATATAGTTACTTTGTTTTATTACCTTTGTTGTGTTTGTCTGTATATTCTTAGCCTGCGAACTAGCTACATTTCGTTGCTAACGTTAGCTAATTGGTATCAAAAAACAGTAGGCTACCAATATAACGTTAACTGCCAAACAGTGAACAGAAAAGTGAAGGCTTAACTGATTTTATTTAAATTTATAATGCAGAGCTGCCAACTTTTCAAAAAACCTTGGAGTGAGATTTTGTCGGGGGTGACCAAAATTTTGCCGCGCACGCAGCCACACACGTTGGTGGCTCAAATATCAGGAAATTGGAATTCATTTGGCGTAGTACCCATGTTGTACCCTGCATTCTGGTGGTTTGTGGGGCCCAAAGTCGTTGATAGGGGCGGCCTACTGGAGATGGACAACATTGGTTACATTCTGTGAAGCAAAGACATAGCTGATGGTCCACCCCCAGGACATTTTGGTTTAAGTAGATGTTATTTCATGCATTCTCGTGGATTTTTGGGTGGTATGCCTGAACTTATTCTGATTTATGTTCATCTGCTCATGACTTGTTGGGCCTTCTAGACTTGAGCTGAACATTCAACCAGAAAACTATTGCTGTGCCTCAATGACTGTCTATGTACCACAATATAGCCTAATTAATAGACCTGTGTTTAAGATTAGACCAATTTAGGTTGATTGACATTTTGATTACAATGGTATTCAACTAATTCTTAACTGAAACCTAACCTATATTGTTAATAATTGTATTCTTAAGAGCACTTAATGATTTATGTTCAGCAAAAAATGACACAAGTTTAGTTAGGGAAAAATATTTTTCATTATCAAACAAAAAAGTGCAACAAATAAAGTGCTTAAAGTGCTTAAACAGTAGCCTTTCAAAGCAAAACAATGGATACACATTGTATCGTTGTGTCTGTTTGAAAATCTTCTTCTGTTGCTAACTTCGGGACTCTTTGGGGTAAACAGGATGTCTATGCAGCGAATGGGTTTACAGATGCGCTCCTTAGCGCCATCTATTGTCGGGGAGTTTGAAAAGGAACGAACGCGCTTTGGCCCAAAATCAGATTTTTTTTTTTGCCGTGAGAAATTGGTTGTGTGGCGTGAGTGCGTGTGAAAACATGCAAAAGCGTGTGTCACACGGCGAAACCGTGAGAGTTGGTAGGCCTGATAATGTTACCTTGAAGGCACGTTGTTGCCAGACATTTCGGATGTTACAAGACTTGATTGGGGCTTGGGGAGGATGTAGGCAATGGGAGTTACGCAATCGGGATATAAGTGATAAATGTATTAATAACTTCCACCACACGTTATCTTATCTCAGTCAACTAGTTTATTCAGAGATGTATATGGCTTACTATGAGTCCCTCTTCTTAGCTAATCTGAGCGCTTTCTGTCTAAAAGGACATGCTGAGACAGCAGTTGGAGAGACTTCTTACCAAACTGCAATCTGCCATAAACCAACAACTGCTAAATTTGGATTATTTGGAGTTCCTGACACGCCATGAGCTTATTCGGTTTGAATCGTTCTCTGAGCAGATAGGCGGTGTATCAGACATAACAGAAGCACTACAAAACCTCTATCATGTTGTCTAGCAGGAAATTAATGCCAGCTCTATGCCCATTGTTGAACTGGAAACAGAGGTTGGTCCAGGTTCTGGTCACCCCAAAATTGTAATAGAGAGAGAAAAACTAAAGAATATGCTGGACACGCATCTGCCAGTCTCCTGCATTGCAAAATGCCTGGGTGTTTCACCGAGAACGATTTACAGAAGAATGCAAGAATATGGCTTATCTGTAAGAGGATCATACAGCACAGTGACTGACCAAGAGCTTGACAACGTGATTTCAGCCATCAAAAGTCAAATGCCAAATGCTGGTTATCGAATGGTTCAAGGCCATTTGGTGTCGATGGGTCTCCGCATTCAGTGGTGGAGAATGATGGCCTCTATGCATCGCGTTGATGCTGCAGGGATCTTCTTGCGCCTCACAGAACTAGGTTGTGTTCTGCGAAGAAGTTATTCTGTGCGAGGCCCTCACTCCTCAGCCCACATCGACACAAATCACAAACTGATAAGGTAGATTAAAATAGAATATTGATCTAATTATTTAAACGCAGAATGTTGTGGAGTAGGAGGCATGTCATACAACTCCCATATGAACGGCCTTAGTTATACTGTAACCTTTTTACCTCTTGAACAGATACAACATTGTACTTGGATGCTGCAACAAATAACAAAGCGTCAACTGCATTCTCATTCTTCCTGAGATCAACCCAGCTTCATGGCATACCATCAAGGTATTTTGCCATGACAAAACAAACTCATATCTGGAGAAGTGGCAGTTTTTTACATTTGATTGTTTTATTAATTTATAATTCTATCCCAGAAACTATAACTTCATATTCTAAAGTTAAATTAAACCTTTGAATGTCATTTAAATTTGTTTTCATCTTAGAGTAAGGGGGGATCAGGGTGTTGAAAATGTAGACATCGCACACTTTATGTTCGCCACACGGGGAACAGGAAGAGCGAGCTTTATCTCGGGAAAGAGTGTCCACAATCAGAGGTAAGTTGTTTTTGTCAGTTTTTGACTGCATAAATAGTTCTTGGAACAATTGAATTGTTTAAATAAAGTACATATTGCTTTATAAATCAGTCAACCAATTAAAATTTCATTCTAGAATAGAGCGACTTTGGCGGGATGTCTGGGTTGCAGTCACTAGCAAGTACCATGATGTTCTTCACTCTCTGGAGGAAGATGGTCTGCTTGATTTCTCTGATGTGGTTCATCTCTTTGGCGTCCACTACATCTTTATCCCTCGACTCCGAGCAGACCTTGATACCTTCACTAGAGGATGGAATAATCATCCTCTACGGACAGAGGGAGGTCTCAGTCACACACGATACTTCAACGTTGTGTCCAACCAACAATGACATTTAAACATGAACTTCTTAGCTGGTTACAATTTTGAACTTGGCAAAAACATCCGATTAATTTTACTAACGGACCAGCAAAAAAAGGCACTTTAGGAGTGGCACCCTTTTGGATGTATTACTAACAGTAGCAATAATTGCTTTGATTGGAGTAGACCTAGTTGTGTTAAACTCTGTGGAACCCACCACCATATTTAACTGCTTCACTCATGATTCTCCTAAAGTCAGTGTAAGTGCTAAGATGCTGTACTGGAAAAGTCACAGTCTGAGTGTATGCACTCACAATTGGGTAGCAAACAGTGTGATCTCCTAGTCGCTCCCTGCAGTTGTGGTCAAAGTTGCATGTTATTTTGAAATGTCTCTTTTCATCAGGGAGCATGGGGATGTGGGACTGCCCCGTCATCCACTGGAGCACGTGTGGCACTGCAAGAGGCTCTGTTTCACCAGCTGCACGGTCTGTCTCCCCATCTGCGATTGATGTATATTTAAAATAACATGAAAGAGAAGCTATTCAAACTTACAGTATTGTCTTATACACATTCTTGGATAATACATTTGTTATGTGCTCTGTACATTCAAATGGTGTTATGTGTAATTGTGTATGCACACTATAGAGTATATAGTACCTGACATTTCAACCTCCTGCAAGAAATCTTCCGCTCAGTTCTCCCCTTAGATGTCCCCTTTCACTGAAATTGGGCTGGCAGTTCATGATTATGAAATCAGCATCAGGCTATAAAGAAACAGTGAATGCATATTTGGTTAAATATTTTAAGTTTTCAAATATAGGCTTGTAAAGGCTATACAAAATGAAGATTCCAATAAACAGTACAGGCCAAAAGTTTGGACACACTTTCTCATTCAATGCGTTTCCTTTTTACTTTCATGACTATTTACATTGTAGATTCTCACTGAAGGCATCAAAACTATGAATGAACACATATGGAATTATGTACTTCACAAAAAAGTGTGAAATAACTGAAATTATGTCTTATATTTTAGATTTTTCAAAGTAGCCACCCTTTGCTTTTTTATTAATAAGGGAAACAATTCCACTAATTAACCCTGACAAAGCACACATGTGAAGTGCAAACCATTTCAGGTGACTGCCTCATGGAGCTCATTGAGAGAACACCAAGAGTTTCCAGAGTTATCAAAAAAAGCATAAATATGATAATTCAACAAAACAATCTTAGTCTTACAGACCTGTTGCCTTATGCAAAAGCCATCCCCCACAAAGATCCTCCATTTTTGGAAATGCGTTCGTCAGAAGCTTTGAAATCTTGGTTAACAACAAAGTAAAAATTAAAATAAAGATACACACACAAATCCTTGACAGTGAAAAGCTAAAGTACAGTATATTTTACAATAACTACCTTTAATTACAAGTCAAACAGTTGGACTGAGAAGTTTACCTCTGTGTGGTCACTATCTTCAGGAAGAGACACAGTTTGTCTTCCCATACCCGCCTGGAGGAGTTCAAGCTCCTCAGTTGGCAACGGTGTATGTAATGTACTTTTTGGCAGAAGATAAAAATTAAGAGCCGTTGTTTTGCGGGTCTTAAGGTGCTTAGTGGCAGTCAAACACCTCTTTTTTACCACGACTGAAATTCGATTTGAAATATCCTGGAAAGGATCTGTGGATTAAAAGGTAGCTTTATATTAGTTTATTATATATACGGCATATATAACAATCAAGCAAATATTCTAAATAGCATATTTTTTACAATGTACTTGGCCTACAAACCAAAGTCCTGTCTCAAGGTGAATCATAACACTCATTTGAATTTAGACATCCAAGTGATTAAACCGACTGGACATAATGTTACCAAATTGCATTTACGACGTGGACTTACAAATAATACATTTCATCATGATTTGAATATGAACATATCTAGGTGAACGAACCTTGTCATTTCTTGCTGCACAGTTCTAGGGAGCTCCGTCTCTGACGGCCGTGTTGGGCAGTTAGTGGCCATACTGTTTAGCAACACAGACACCACATTTCGGGCTGCTGACTCAACTGCACCATGACCCTATATCATTTAACATGTTAAGACATAAAAATGACAAAACATAAGGTACAGTTTTTCATTTACAAAAGTAAGCCATGCTTGCTACAATAACAACATTAATGTTAGCCGGTAGGTTAGCTTAAGTTATAGCTATATCTCCGGCTAGCTAGCGAACGTCATTTTTTCCGAAACGGTCGGATAACAGCAGGTTTCATCAAATGCACCGAAAAACATAACATCACAAAACTAGAAATGACTAACTCACCTGACGTTGTGGCGTATTGTTGCTGTTCTCATCATTCGCTTCGGTCATGTCTGATGGTGGCTAGCCGGACTTCTAATATCACTTTTTTCGTCTTCTTTAGGAAGCGTTGTGATTGGAGACCAACAGCCAATCACAATGGACCTTCTTTAATTCTCTGATTGGTTGGTTTTGTGGCACAAATGTAACGCTGCTGCAAGTCGAGCGAGCGCAGAGTGAAGAGGTGGAGCGAGCGCTAACTATATAACATGAAGGGTTATCTCAATCAATAGTTTCATATTTGTCTGCGCAGTCAGCTTATGTTGATCTACCTGCTGAATCAAATATTTTTCAAAGGAAAAAATTGTATAGATACAGTGCGAAATATTGTTTTTACAGTCAACATTGTTTATACAGATGTTATAGGAAATACATTAAATGCAAGAGGATTTGTGTATTTGCCATATTGTTTTTTATGACTAAAAAGATTTTCCTGAAAGTTCAGATACCGGTTTAACAAACTTGTTAGGGCCCCCTCCCCCTCCCTCTCTGTGCTGAAAGGTCACCTGGGCCTTATTGTACGTTTCTGTACAACCAGTTTGATCTGAAGTGTTGAGTTGTAGGATTGCACCTTGCCTGGTTGTGTCCACATACAGTGCGACATGTACACACATGACAAAGTTCTCAACACAGTTTGTGGTAGTTTTCTCCACATTAGTTAGTCTCCACATTTCACTCTAATTACACACACTCACACAAGTTGTGAACAACACGGGGCAAATGCTTTATAATGGTCTCTACATATTAACACACACAACAACACAGAATGTATCAATACATTATTAAAAATAGACTGTGTTCTTCACTTTGGGAATTAGGTGGTACGTTGATCTAAAACAAAGGTGTGCCATTACTATTGGACCTTTGGGAGACATTCTGCTGCTTTTGAAAGGTGCGTTGGGAATGAATAACCTAACACACCTTCAGTACACACACAAGAACCACGGTTCATTTAGCAGCGTCGGGACACACACACAACCAGCCAATAGCAAAGAAACGAACACATGCATTACCTCACTTGAAAGAAACCACAAAAGCTGTGGTGCCGGAGAATCACGTTTAGCTTTTACAAGCGCGCGCTACACAGTAGGAATAACAGTCTGGCTTCACACTGGCCTCCAAACAGGCACACATATTGTATTTTCACAGATGCTCATGTGCGCTCTTAAATTCCCCAGAGGCTTCCAGCTCCATCCCGCCGCTCCTTCCGTTTTTACAACTTTCATCTTACTGTCTGTCGGCCCAAGGACGGCCAGCAGCATGTGTGACAGAGGAATTTGTTCCAGGCAGGGGGAAAGGCTAAGTATATCCCGTCCCTGTGAGTCAACGCCATGGCTAAGCAGAGGCAGTGTTTATTAAAAACGTCCTCAGTATCCTTTTCATGCCAGAAGACGGTGTCGAGGGCGTTCCAGGTCAAATCTGATATTTTACCTATGCTAGTTATTTCTGTGCTGCGACTTTCAAGTAGAAGCTAGATTTATTTACATATTTTCTTTAATGTTCTTAATATGCTGAATTTAGGCGAAATAAAGGGAGGGGAAATATGTACAAATGTATTGTATTATTTTGCAGTAATAAACTATTTCATAAGTGGTCTACTTGAGAACTGAATAAACGCCACAGTGACTTGAAAATATTGTGTGTGATTTTACTTCTGTCAAAATTGACGGTAGTGCTTGATCGACACTTATCAGTTTGTTTATTCATTCATTTTTCATATTACAAATTACGATCAGTTCTTAACCCCGAACATCATGCATCAAACATCTTCTTCCTGCCCTCCATACCAGACATGGCCTCCACATTCTTGCGCCAGTCACCCACCTCCAACGTCAGCTCCTGGTATCAAAACACACAAACAGACCATTAAGCTTTTTGTGTTTCTCTTCTCTTTTTTTGGCTATCTCTTTCTGTTTGAGTAATTGTACCTTCTCTTGTTTGATGTCTTCTTTCTTTACAGACTTGAGGTTTGCCCTGAGGTCCATGGAGGCCTTGTTTTTGGATCCAAACAGAGCTTTCAGCATCTCATCTGCTGACACTCTCACCTTCCTCAGAGCTGGCTTCTTGAACTTCGCTCCGAGGTCCTGAACCTTCAGATTCAATTGGTGGATCTGAAGATGGTGAAAAGCTTTGCTGGTGACTCTTTGATCATTTCAGTGTTTTTTTTAAGTAAATCAGTTTGTGTCACGGTGGGTGACATACATCTCTGCTGTTCTTGAAGACTTTGTGCTCATAGTCGTACCGCTCCTCATCCGCGTTATCTATCTTTTCATGGATTTCAGTACAGACTTTCTGTGTGAAAGGGATGGAAAAACATATATGCCCTCTGAATTTAAGTACACAAACGACACACATGCTTATTATAAATCAATCTCAGGGCGAGAATCCCTCTCACCTGCAGGTCATCCCTGTTCAGACCAAGGAGCTGCAGTGGTGGAAGCTTCTCGGCCAGGTAGCGGACCTTCTCTTCCTCTCTAGCAGCCTTCTCTGCCTCCATCTGTTCTGTTGCACGAGTCAGCAAGAGGATCTAGAGTAGTCGAAGTCGACACGGAGAGGCGTATGTGAAATTTTGGTGTGTGACTAGTGCTTATAATTTTCTTATTGGTAGTTAAAATCCCCAAAATTAGTCGTTGTTAAGAACACATGCATAGTTTACCTTGAGGGAGAGCTTGCGGGAGGCTGAAATCTTAGATTTCGGCTGAAAATAGTAAAGAAATATGACATGTTACAACTAGATCTTTTAGCTATCGTGACATTTAGAGCTTTTTAAATTCCTACCTGCAAAAGTTAAAATAGGTTTACAGTTTGGAACAATTACTGGTACATCCTTTTGATATAGCTGCTCAATCCCTGATTGCCAATATGACTTTATATGTACCTTTAATCTTACTAGGCAGCAGCTGCTTATAATGCCTACTATTTAGCGTTAAAAATAGTTATCATTTTCTGTCCAATTGTATTGTAACTCTATTTAATCATATCTCCAAATCTGTCCTTGGAAGCTGTTAAACAAAGTGATAAGATACAGTCATTTAAAGAAGATAATTGATAAACATATTATCAGTTAAAATAATTAGTTCTACCTTTGAAACTGTCTTTTGGGATGAGGGAGGTGGTGTGTACTGAGGAGGAAGGAATAAAGACAAAGAATTGAAACCACATTGAATATCAAATTTGAGCAAGTTTCCCTCCTTATTAAGGTTGGATGTAAAGAGTGAAACAAGCCGTCTGTAACTTACATCACTGCGATGGCCGTGGGGAATTTGTCATCATAGAAATCAGGGAAACAAAGCAGACAAGAGGCAATGTTAATAATCTGAGACAATCCTGCTTTATGACAGGACTATAAACAAATAAACTCTTAACGGTGTGATGAAAGAACTTACTCATACAACATTGTCAACAAAATGAGGACGCCGGTCGATTTGAAAAAGACGAAAACAAGAGTCCAGTTAAAAGCAGAAGACGATTCACCCTCAGAGTCAGATGGAGAATCAGTGTGAAGCTTTAGAAGGGGGCGGGGGGGGTCTCAGCAGTGGGTTTATACATGAGGGTGCGCACTGAAGATCTTCTCTGAGAAGGTGCATCACTCCACAAAATATTTTGGTTTGAAAGAAAATCCAAAAGATCTTCGTCTTTATGCAGCAGAATATTGATTTTTGTATGATCTGAGATTCTATCCTCAGATTGGGTTTTACCAAATCACCAAAAATTACAAACTACAACTCTGTCACAAATTATTGGTCGAAGATCGGGATTGACGAGAGATCTGCTTGTTAACTAGACAACTCTATACTGGCTCACATGTTTGTTATCACCTCTGTGTGAAAGTAAAGTGTTTTCTTTCCCACTGGTCATTCAAGTCCTGTGAAAAACAGAAAATAGGTTTCCTATTAGGTTTGCGCTCAATGTACAACACATGGACTATATTTTGTTAAAACAAAAACAAACGAACAAGATGATTTATGTTTATCTTCCTCATAAAGTGGTGCACCCACTCACTCAGTTTAGACACGTGGGGGCAACTGTAAACATGTTAGTTAAAATGAGTTTGCACCACAGAGCACACGGCAAATTCTAAAGACATATTACATTTTTAATATGCACAAGATCACAATTAACCAAATGACATTGAGGCTGTACCTTCTCTTATTGACTGCCCACGGCACTTTACAACTTCAACGCTTTGAGCTTAATGACAACTTTGGAGCGCTAATGTTCTTAAATTAAGCAGGCGTTTCATTGCCATGTACACTTGGCTGATGGGAATATCTTTAGTTCCTCAGGCAGTTGGCAATCATTTACAAGAACTATGTTGACCGGACGATGACACTAAAGGAAAAGTCCGGAGACTCACCAAAGTTATTATAAATTTATCCAGACGAGCAACTTTAATGTGTCTAGCCTACTAAATTTAATTGTAGTGCATCAAATCCACACAAAGGCCCACCTTGTGTTGGCAAGGCAGCCAAATCACTAATCACAAAGTCCTTTTCATATTGTGTGTCAATCCATCCAGTAGATATTGAGAGGGTTGAGATATTGTGAAATATATATATATAAATTTGGAAAATTTCAATATTTAATATGTGTGTATCTGAAATCTAGCTTTAGGATATTTTGGCCAGGAAAAGCGAGAGACCACAAGTGATTGCTGTGAGCAGCACCTTTTCAGTTTAATCCATATGAATTATTACTAGGAGTGTATAGTGAACATTACAATGACTTGAACAACAACATCAAAGGTTCACACCGTAGCGTTTCCTCATTCTTCACACATATGTATTGTGTCTCTGGGTCACAGACCTGCAGGAAAAGAGGAAGGCAGGCCTTGCTTCATGTACCCTGACTCTTTTATGTCTTTGGACTGTTGCAGCAAACACAAACAACCCAGCTGAGATTCAGACTTCTTTGATGTCATGTGACGGTGCTGAATCATAAACGGATACTTCTCTTGTACATAACAGGATGTTTACAGGTTCATGTTAGATGCCAGGAAAGCATGTTAGGAATGCACTGCCCTGTCATCATTTTGAAAGATGGACACTTTTTACACCCTTTTCCCTTTTTTCTCCCATTGGGTTTGCATTGATACAGAATAACGTGACATTGATCTAAATCAGTTGGGGTCATCGCATGTGTGTGCTTTGTGACGTGATTAAAAAAAGTGTTTGTGATGCAGAAAGAACATATTGGTTGTTTCATTTCGTGGAATATAGCAGTCGCCACCTTCTAAAGTTCGGAAAGTGTTGACCTTGATTGCGTCGAACTCCTTTGGCATGCATGCTTCATTCCTGTGGGAGTGGTGATATGTTTTGTGAGCCTATCAGAACAAAAGCATGTTGTGTGTTTTAAATAGAGGCAGATTCAGTTTAGTCCTCCACCACACAAGACAGCATGCAACACATAGTCAGTATACTATATATTTTTGGGGATAAACAACTCCCTGGTCATCCTCCTGTCCATCTGCCCAAACTTTTTGTGTTGTAATCAAAAATCATGAATCTGAACAGCTTGGTAAGGGAAATTGGTGACCTTAAAAATTGGCCCAGATAAGATAAGAAGAGATTCTATAGATTGCCATCCATGACGTAATCTCGAGTGATGACTCCCTCTACATAGTTTCAAGGATGACACAGACGTCTTCCTTCTTAGATACACACAGACCAAAAATACCAACCTATCGTCTCACTTCCCCCTGTGGACTGAGGTGACAAGCTGTTGACTTTGTGTTTTAATCCAGACAAATCCACCATACACACGTCTCAGCGTTTGAAGTCTTTCATGTGGAATACAACTTTGCATTTGCATTGAAACAGTAAAGAAAATGCCTCGCGTCATTTCATTGGCGCATTGAAAAATGCTTAAGAATAATATGGCCAATCAATATCGCAACACATTACATATTATTTATATCAAAAGTAACGTTACTTCACCAAGATGAACAGGTTGTTATTGACCCACACTGCTAACTTTAAATAATTTAAATACTATATATTAATGTTTTAGTAAGCTACGTTAAGAATGGGGAAACATAACGATATGCATATTATAGGTATACATATTTTATATATTTCTAATTTTATTTTATTTTATTATTGTTATTATTATTTTTTTGTACCTCAGTTACACAAGTGTGGCGCTCTGAAAAGTAAAGTTCAGATTTACGAGGCGACGTGAAGCCAGCATCCACTGACCCGTGAAAACTCATTCATCACCAAGTGTAGCCTCATCAAGCTAGCAGTTAGCCTCACGCACTAACCACCGGCACGGCTATGAACTCATCGGCCGGTGGCAACGTCAGTCCAATAGCCGTCATCTAGTTATCCATATTACCAGCGTTTCTAAATCGAACCAGACGTTCCTTCCTTTGGGGCTTTCGGGAACTAACGTTAGCGCGTGACGTTTTCGGGAGATCCGCGGGGGTCACACGAGCGGTGCGCTGTCAACAGTAATGTCCGAGAAAGCGGCCCCTCGTTTGTTGATACTACAGCACCGGTAAGGATAATACCGGCGTGCTCGGGAATCGACCGTCAGCAGTCCGGTGTTTTTAGTTGCGTAAGGTGTCTGCTTCGCGGCGCGGTTGTAAAAACATGGCCGATCAGGTAGCGCCGAGGGGATTGACTGCAATGCAGTTCGACGTTATAACTTCAGTCGCTAGCTTCGCTTTGCTAACACAGGCTAGCTAGCGGTAACGAATCGGCCGCCCGCGGTAGTTCACCAGACGCCTGTGAACCAAGTGGAGGACTATTTAGAGCCCAGCGAAACGGTTTAAATTCTAGCGTTAGTGGACCGAAGCTAGCGCGTTAGCTGCCCGTGCAGGCGACCCGCTCTCCGCACTGTCAACAGCATGTGACGTTGGATGAGCGGCTCTCTCCTCCGTCACAGCCGGTGTTAGTGACCGCGGCGTTTACAGATCGACTTCAGAGTAAGTCATGCCTGGGAAACTGAAGGCCAAAATAGTGGCTGGTCGCCACTTGCCGGTGATGGACCGAGCCAGTGACCTCACGGATGCGTTTGTGGAGGTGAGTGTCTTTGAGGTGTAACATACTTGTTTCTTTTAATAGAACTCAAACTTTTCACGTCTGTAAAAACATGTATTCCACATTTAGCCTCAGTGTGGTTGTTACATAAACATCACACCGAATATTTCCAGTGGCATTTCAAAGATGTGTCTTGTTTGCCTTTTTTTATTTCCCAGGTCAAGTTTGGAAACACGACTTTCAAAACAGACGTGTGTCACAAGTCCCTCAACCCACAATGGAATTCAGAATGGTTCAAATTTGAGGTAAAAGGCCAGTGAGTTTTTTCTTTAGACCTGGCAGGCACTGGCAGTATTATATTAAAGCATTACATGATGCAAGTAACCTTTCTTACTCTGCCCCCCCCCCCCCCCCCCCCCCCCCCCCCACCCTGGGTAGGTGGATGATGAGGACTTGCAGGACGAGCCATTGCAGGTCACAGTTTTGGACCATGACACATACAGCGCTAACGACGCCATAGGGAAGGTTTATATTGACATTGACCCGCTGCTGTGCAGTGAGGCGGCCTCTGTCATCTCCGGCTGGTTTCCCATCTATGACACGATCCATGGTACAAGACTAAACTAATACGGCCATGATGCATGCACCTTCTCCTTATGTATTTGACCCTTTTTGTGATGCATTGCTCCGTACTATTTGTTATTAGGGATCCGAGGGGAGATCAATGTCCTTGTCAAAGTGGAGCTTTTCAACGATTTGAACCGCTTCAGACAGTCGTCGTGCGGGGTCAAGTTCTTCTGCAGTATGTCTAACTTAACTTCCTGGTTCATGATTGTTTGTTTACATACAGTTTGTTTACAGATTCAGCATATGACAATATTTATGTGAATGAAATGTAGATTGACAGTATGTAGTGCAGATCCATATGAAGCGATGCACAACGGACAATATTAGAGGTTTGGAGTTATTGACAAAAAGTGTCATTTATGAGATCAACAAAATGACACAGTGCAAGTGGGAAGGTGTCAATTGCAAACAAGGAATTGCCACTGAAGAATATGTGCTCAAAGTGCAAGCTGAAGAATGAAGTGCTTTTCCATTTAATCTAAAATCCTTACACTCTGTGTGCATTTTTTACATGCAGCCGCATCCATTCCACGGTGCTACAGAGCAGTATTGGTGCACGGGTTTGTGGAGGAACTTGTTGTGAATGAAGATCCAGAGTACCAGTGGATCGACCGCATAAGAACTCCTCGGGCCTCCAATGAGGCCCGGCAGAGGCTCATCTCTCTTATGTCAGGTAAGGCAATGTATGGTGATCGTCTTTTAATGTTGGTGTTGAGGCAGAATAGTTTTGTCCTTTCTTATGAACCCCCCTTTAACAGTGTGGCTTTGTGTCACCCTCTATTCAGGGGAGCTGCAGAGAAAAATCGGGCTAAAGGTACTGGAGATGGGCGGGAACGCAGTGGTGGGCTACTTGCAGTGTTTTGATCTGGAGGGAGAATCGGGTCTGGTGGTCAGGGCCATAGGCACGGCCTGCACGCTGGACAAACTCAGCTCTGGGAGTGCCCCCAACACCAACACACACATGCACCCGAGCACAGCCCCTGCTTCCAATGCCTGCAATTCCCCTTCCAAGGACGGAAAGGAGTGAGTATGAACCCACAACACCAGCATGGAACTGACTCTTTTCTTGTGCTAGTTTCACTGCAAAAATAGTTTGTGAGAATGGGAAAACGTTATTGCTGTGTGCATGAAAGGGAGATTGTGTATGTGTGTGTGTGTGTGTGTGTGCGCGCGCAATGTACTGAATGTTGGTCTTGTCTAGTCTCTCAGTATCTCCTGTGTGTGTGTCTCAGAATCTTTGATTCCGTATTGTACTTTGTTTCCATTGGGTCATATGTATTGCCTCATGAGACTAACAGCACACAACATATCCTGAGACACACACATGTATAGTACACACACACCGCCATCCTAAACCCCGCCCCCCTCCTTGTCTGTTCTTTTAGACAGCTCTTGCATGGCTTTCTAGTGTCTTTTAGTGAGGATCTAGCACACGTGTTCTGCTCAGCCTTTAGCTTTGACGTCGCGTTGGAGCTTGTGACTTCATCCAATTACTATAAACATTTACGGTTGACTGCATGTGTGCCTCTTTTTTTGCATATATACAGCGTATCTGTGCATGAGTTTTTGCATATCAGGTATGTATATATGTTTGTAGGTTATTATTGCATTGGATCCAATTACTTAACGTTACTTAACATTGTTCCATTTGACTTCAAACTAAAAGTTAGTTTATCTGCGCGTTTGTTTGGGAACTGTTGTCTGTTGTGTTTGCATCCCCAGTGTGCATGTTGGTGTGGTACTGAGATCTTTAGCTTCAGGTGCGAAGCTTTCAGCTGAAACTCAGAGCTGCTGATTGGCGTAGCTTTTAATTTACAGGGGCTTAGATGGGGAGGGAAAAAAAAAACTTATTTTCCCACTTTGTCTCCTTTTGCACTCTATTGCAATGTTGTGGTGTTGGTTATTGTGTGAGTCTCTTTCTCCCCCTTTGGCTTTCTGGCTTCATTCGGATTGGGACGTCTCTCACTACTTGTGTCCAAATCTTCCTCCCGCTGCGCGCTGATTGGCCCAGGTCTCCCCTTGCCCACGGATGCCGCTCCACCCACAACAGCCCAGTGCATTCGGCCTGCAGCTCCCAGAGACTGTCCCAGAACTTCTCTGTCTCTGTTCCCACACTCATCTTCACTGGTACGCAGAATCAGGCGAGGAAATAGATACAAAGGAAAGAGAAGACGTTAGAAAGACAAAGAGAGGTACATGGTGAGGTTTAAATGAGGGAGACTGAGGCATCAAGACAAAGACGCGAGGCAGATCCGTATACCTTTTGTCAGCTTTGACAGTAGACTCATCATCGCTCCATCTGTTCCTTTTTTTAGAAGGGTGGGCAGTCAGATTCCCAGTCCATATCCTCTTGAGAGGGCTTGTGATGTCTTGACCATACCTTCGCTCTACTGGGACACATGCTTCAGCTCCTCCTCCTCTGTTGAATGTGACCTTCTTGTGTTTTGCCGCGTTGCTTTCTTTAGCTTATTGTGTTTGGTTTGTGTGTGTTTTCTATGTGCTTTTAATTTGTGTTCATCTCCGTTTGGGTTTCCATGCTTGCTTTAATGTTTTTTTTTAAACCATCAGTAGCACCTCAAACGCACCTCACCCAATGCCAACAAATCACACATGAAAACCTTTCAATTTTAATTGACCCACTTACACACACACACACACACACACACTCACTCAGAGGGTGGTGACTGATTTTGGGTGTGTGTGTGTTTGTGTCTGTGTGTCATGTTCTCCTGGCAGGCCGGTTTTTGGTGAGGACATGACCTCGACCTCCGGCCCGCCAACCCCTTTCAGAGCCCTTCCCACCACCTCCTCCTCTCTTCCGCCCTTCTCTCCCTCCAAGCCTTGCAGCCGCCAGTCCTCATCATCAGACACAGACCTCAGTTTGACGCCCAAGACGGGTAAGAATACATGGGTGCCCCCTCACTGCCCCTTCTGACCCATTCCCCACCCTCACCTCATTGTGGTGCTACTCTGGTGGTGGTTTTTGAATTGCTGTTTATTAATTATTAATTCATTTTTTAACATTTTCGTTGGTTGAGTTGAAGGTTATTTTATTGTAAACCGTGTTGTAAATATGTTTTTTTTTGCTGTGACCCTTCCTAAATCCGCCCCCTCCCACTCCCCCCTCCCCCCGTTGTTGTGGTCTTTAATAGAAGCACTGTGTCCCATGAAGGGCAGATATTTATCTAAGGTCGCTTATTTCATACCAACTGTTATTGTTGATAGCAGCTATAAACGCTGCATAGTACCGTTCTACCAGAGCCGCTCACATGACTCATTGGGCGGGGACCAGCAGTCCCCAGGCCGTCCTCACTTGTCCTTGTCCCCACTCCTTTTTCCTTTCACTCATATTTCCACCTCGCCTGTCAATTTTTTCATAACCTTTCCGTTTCTATTTTTCCCCCAACATTTTGTTCCATGACTGATGTCATGATTAATGTCAACTTACCTAATCTGATCCTTTGCATACCACATCCTTAATGAATATTAGTTCCAGATGCAATTTGGAGAAACATTAAACCTGTCAGATCTTTGCATGAATTCCCGTCTTGAATAGTTTCTATACAGAACCATGAGCAATGGTGGCGGGCCTTAAAGAAGCAATGACTCCTAACTTAAATTCACATTGTACACAGTGTACTTGTATCAGCGGCCTCAACCACAGTCTTCATGCCGACCAAACGGTTGGTTGATATGTCACTTTGTCCAAAAGAGACAATTAGATGAGTGAGGGGTTAACACCCATCGACATCCCAATGGCTAATATGAACACAGTATTGTGCTCAGTAAATGAAATAAACCAAATTGCAATTCAATCTGATTTATCAGGCTATTCTATCTCTATCCCCTTTCTGCCTGCCTCATCCTTCTCCCTCTCCTCATTGCTCTGCCTGTCCATTCTCCGTATATCTTTGTTTCTCTGTGAACCCTTCATGTGTTGTGTTTTTCTGCTGGATAGTGGAGCCAGTGAGACGCAGGCTGGGGATCTTCCTCTGCCCCAGTTCCCCCACCCTCTCCACAGACACACTGTCCCTTCTTGGTTCTGGCTTAGTGGGCTGTGGTAACACCTCTGATCCCAGAGCCACCACCCTGCCCCCTCCCTCCACTGTCCACTCAGACAGGGTCTTGCTGAGAAAGAGCGTGTCCTTCACGGAGGACCTGCTGCTGGCAGCCTCCGGTATAGTAGGACTGTTGCGTGTCATCAAGTAGCAGAACTTTACAGCATTTTAGTGTCGGCGACTGTTCAGATTGACTTGACCTGACGTTAAGTGAAACAACAAAAAAAACTCCAGAGCTCATTGTGAAATTACACCCGTGACTGATGGCCCATTCAGGATTCTCCTATCCCAACATATGGTTAGATGTGCTAATCAAGAGTACCCAACTACTAGGGCTATTATTTATGCCTGAATGAGAGAAAGCGTTGTGAGAAGGGTTTGCTTAGCATGAGGAAGAAGCAGGTTTATTCACTGCTCTCAATGTACGTTTTTTGTGTGCAATTCCATCTGCTGGCTACACTTAGTTTGTGATAATGACATTAATACTGCAATGTAACAATCATGTTTTTGATAGACAGATTGACTGGCTCTTCAGCCCGTCGACCTGTGTGTTGAATGTGACAAATCTGAAGCCGAACCCTCCTTTGTGATCAGGAATGGGGAGTGGGGGCAGCGTCGGGAAGGAGGCGGGGCCTCTGAAGACCCTGCTCAGGCAGCAGACGCAGACGGCTCTCGAGCAGAGGGTACAATGACTCAAACACTCGCATATTCACCGCTCACGTGTGTATACCGACTTGTTCTATATGCAGACATTTGAAACTGACATGCAGTTTCACTGCAGTTAACACATGGGAAGCCAGTTTGCGTTGTGCATCAGCCTCAAATGTCTGGATGTAGGACACATTATTAAGTGCACGCTCTGTGTCGCTCACTAATTTTTTTCACACAACTGCACTGTTAAATATCACTAACTTTTTCACCTCCGTGTTTCATTAATGGGTGAGTGGGTCTCTGTGAGAGCAAGTAATGGTTCCTTTCTCTGTCCTCTTGACCATTTGTGCCACATTCAGGGAGCGACCTCCTCTGGGTTATTGTTAAACGCCAGGGTATGTCCCATCATCAGTGTGACACTTCCTTTCTTACCTCCACCTTTTCTCTAACACCCTCACCACCCGATGGCCACCACCAAGTCAGAATCATCTCCTAACCCGTCCCTCCTCTTGTTGTGTGTACCTCTATGAGGAGCAGGTTGGGCTGAGCAAAGTGGCCGTGGGTCCTTGGGTGACTAACCCCGGCCCCGCCCCCCCTCCCCCCCTGCCACCCCACCCCTCTCTTGTGTGTTTTGCTTGGCACTCTTTGCACTCTAAAAAGATTCACAGAAATTGGGCAGAGGGCTGCAGGCCAGGAGTTGAGTTCCCTTCGAGTTTGAAGGACGGTTTGTGTGTGTGTGCCATCTTTGTAGTCGAGCACCTTCCTCCTTTCTGACTTCCTCTCCTGAGTCTGATTTGGTTCCCCCTGCGTCCGCAAGGGAAATGAACACGCTCACCTCATCACATCATTCGTGCCTCCTCGCTCAGAGTGGGAGGAGATGTCAGTCAAATTAGTAGCCATCTTCCTGCCTGGAGTACTGGTCAAGAAAGAAGCCTATTGGTCATCTCACATGTTTATTAACCATGAAAGCCCTTCATCACATACACCCGCATGGTTGGAAATGGTCCTCACTTCACTCGGGGATGAGTAGTTATCTCCTTTTTGTGAGTGACTGCATGGATTTGCATTCACGTTATTTAAGGACGAGCTATCACGTCGGAGGACAGAAAAGCATGTATAGAGTCCTGATGACCGTCTGTGGGTGTGAGTGTTTTTCACTTTCATCTCCAAACCTACTCAATGCATTTAATAGATGTTGTAAGGATTGAATTGATCACTAAATGTGATGCAAAAGACATTTGCATAATCACTTCCAGATCTATTTGAAATGCTCTAAAGTGTAGGCTGAAATGGAGTGAGTGGGGTCTCCTTCGGGGTAAAGTATTGCATGGGGGAGGGACACCATCACGCCTAATCCTTGCTGCATGTTAGCACTTTCAATAATAACTGTACATAATAACAAGTGTCTTAAATCAATCGTTTTGAAAAATATCAAATCTAATAAAATGTTACTGTCACAGAGCACAAATTACACGGGCTCAAATACACACAAGTAAGTTCCAGAGTGCGTTTTCCTTTTATTGTGAATGACCCAGCCCATTTTCCCATTTGCAGGAGTTCCCCTTCTTCACCTTGACGTCTTTCCCACCTGGTTTTCTGGTTCATGTCGGCGGGGTGGTCAGTGCTCGCTCGGTCAAACTATTGGACCGTATACACAACCCCGGTGAGTGCAGCATACGCACAATGTCGTTCTGTAGCTCGTCCACTGTCCTGTGATTCAATATGTTTGATCTCCTCCGGTACCGTGTCAGAGTCCCGTCTTGTTGCAACTGGCTGTTATTTAATGCTGCCCCTTATCCTCCGGTGTTCAACTGTTATCCCATGAACTTTCCAAATCGGTTTGATAGTTTGGAGACTTTACTTCGGAATCATCAGTTATGTGATTAATTTTTGATGCAGGTGAAAGCTGCTTCTTCTCACGCATATGCTGCAGTCTTTAAAGGAAGTGGTTAGCATAGGTAATCATCAGATGAGTCAAAAGTTCACATGCAGTTTGACAAACTGCCTTTGTGTAATACATGGCCTCTGCGGATTGTGTGTTTGTGTGTGTGTGTGTGAGTGTGTAGGCTCTGGCCACCATTTTGCTGCCCCTTAGATGTTAGGTGCCATAACTGCATGGCCCCAATCTGCTGCCTGCTGCTTCTGTTGTCTGGCATTGTTGGCTACAGGTGGCGCTGTGTTGTTGCACCTTATTTCCCTATTGAAATCCTTTTATGTTTGTGTGTTTAGCAGATAAAAAAAGAAATCTAATTTATTATGATGACAATAGGGCATTTGCTTAATAGGCAGGTGCCTGTCTATCTGTCCACGTTACAGCCTCAGTAATCTCGCCCTTTGCCCGTTGTAAAGGTCTTTGGCCGGTCAGATTCAAGCTAGAAGGGAGAGCTGGTGAATGTTTGGTTAGGATGAGCAGGGTCCTTTTCAGACTTAAACAGGGGAACCTCAATTGGCTACCCAAAACGATTGTATTGATCTGCATCACAGTTGAAGACAGCCATGCAATGATTAAACACGCAATAGTCCGGTCTAAGCAATTTTCACATAACTTTCCCTCATCCAAATTGCAGTTATGACTAGGAAACCATTCTGAAATGAGCCTTTTTACCCTGATGCAATACCTCAGCTATGAGGTATTGCATACCACAGAGCAACATTACAGGTGTCTTGTGGAGTTTTCTGATCAACAGCAGTTTTTTGGCGATATGTTTTAGATGAGAGTTGTGGTGGAAATGCAGATAAAGAAATTCTCCCCCAACAGGAGTCACAGTTATTGATATGTGTGATAAACCAGTGCTTTTAGAGAGAAAATTTGATATAAACAAAATGTTTGTATATAAGAAAACTCCAGGTCACCTTTTTAAATTAGAAAGTATACACACGTTATACTACTACCGTATGCTCCGTTTTGTATTGTACACATAGTATAGTATATAGATATAGTCCATCTTCTCCTTAACTCTTTTTAAAAGGTTGGCTCATCTCTATTCTCCTCTTTTCCCCGTCAGTCGTCTTGCGAGATTGTGTTTGTAGGCCTGACTAAAGTCTGTGTTTGTCTGGTGATTGTGAAGTGCTGTCAGTCTGTCTTTGCCAAGTGACGGTGGAGTGCTGCTGTTGTGCTGTGCTTGTTTGTTGGACTGTCCATGTTTTTTCTTTTTCTCTCTTTTCTGTACTAACGGTGTGTTCTGGCCTAGCCTTGGGTGGCACACGCTCATACAAACTGCTAGACTGGAATAGTGTCACTGCAGGTATTTCCCCCCTTTTACTGCTCTCACCCACTGGAGCTATGGCAGCTCACTGAAGTTCAACCTGTGCTCACTTAAGCTTTCACCCACCCACCACTGACATGCAGCCAAAGTAGCCAAAGCAGCCCAGCACACATCACCTGGATACTGCAGAATAGCTGAAAATTGATGAATTCAGTGAGCTGCCATCCTCTTCCCTTTAATCTGTGTGAGTGTGTGTGCTGAGCTGTTGAGCATGTGCTGTCCCCACCCCCTCCAGCCTGGCCTGCGCCCCCCCCCCCCCCTACCCCCCCCCCCCCACACACCCTACCTACCCAATTCATCCCAGTGACAGAGGAGCTTCCCTAATGTTGTCCCGCCGCTGTTTTAACGCTTCCTGATTCTGCATTGTTGTCAAACCTGTCTAGACCAGAGAAGGTTTGGGAGGTTTACTCTGACAAAGAGCCTCTGACCTGGCATGTGCATCCGTAAGTCACTGGGCCATATTCATACTGAGAGAGAGAGGGGGATGGATGGATGGATGGATGGATGATTTGATTTGTGCCACTTGAGGGAAATTTTAAGATAGATCTTGCATGGAAGGAAACAAATGAGCTTGGAGAAATGTACTTCAAAACAAACTAGATCTGACGGACTCTGGTGGATGAATATGGCCCTTCTCTGCCCATGAACGTGCACACGGTCATGAGCGTGCACGTCGGTAAACCTTTGCCTGTGTGACATGCTGGCTCCGGTCTAAAGGAACCGACCTCGTGGTCCTGTTGCTTGGCATTATCAATCATTATCCTTCATCTCTTCAGTTTATCGCCCGTTCTTTTGCCCTCATTCGTTCATCTCCCCCTTCTCCCCCAGAAGCTGGATTTCTTTGTCGTTTTAGGGGGGGCTCCGTCAGCATGTGGCCCCCTCCGGGAGTCATTGGGTGCTTCTCAATACTCTGATGTAGTTTCCTTCAGGATTTGTTTGTTCTGAGATCAAGAAATGAATGAGATTAATCTCCAAATCGGCAACGATTAGGCTCTCATGAATAATGTTATTGAAACAGAAGTGGTATTGGAGCAAAGCCTCATGAGACTATTGAAACACATCCATGGTGAAGCCTAATTATGATATAGGCTCAATATCTTTGAACTTAAACCTTTGTCACCACGGTAGAAAACACTGCAAACAAGTTTAATGTTATTACTCTTTAACCAACCAACCAACCATCCAACCAGAAAGATGTATTCTTATTCTATAGTCTGACCACCTCAGCCAAAATATAAAATATACATAACAGCTGGTGAATGCATCTCTCACCTGTGTCCTTTCTGTGAGTGTGGCTGACTGAAGGGAGACATTAAGACGAGAGAGGAAATGTGTGTTTATATAATGTTAATTTAAGGAATTCTGGTGGAAATTCTCAAACTGTGATTTCATTAATCTCATTGTCACTTTGTTTCACAAACTGATAATTGGTTTTGCCTTGCTTTAATACACCATTTGAATCGTGTATGTTCATAAAATACAAAGTAAACTGTTTGATGTCTATTCTTTTCTGCTCAATATAGATAGACTTTTCAGATTTCTGTGAAAATGTTTTGTAATTTTCTTTTTCGATATACCTACGTTGACAAGAGTTCGGTTTAGCCGGAGCTCAAGTGTTCAGTGATAATCAGCCAATAATATTTTATTGCCGTCTGATTCAGAGTTTCGTGTTTTGCAGATGAGCCAGAGACTCGCGATGCCTGGTGGGAGGAGATCCGCCAGGAGATCAAATCTCACGGCAAAGCTCTTGGTTGCCATGCTGTTGTTGGGTACAGCGAGAGCACTAGCATCTGGTATGTTGCACGCATGGACATTTATTTCTACCTAATATCGATGTTAACGTTATGAACCAGTTTTGTATTTGTCTTAAACACATTTAGCTTAATCTCCTGTTATGCCTTCAACACAGTGAGGAGGTGTGTATCCTGTCAGCATCCGGCACAGCAGCCATCCTCAACCCTCGGTACATGCGTGAAGGCTGCCTAGACATCGGAATTACCGACCACAGGTTGTTAGGATTCAAAGCTAACTGATTGTAAATTCTTGTTACCGGTCTATGTTACCGGTTCATGTCAGCACGGCTTGAATTGCCCTGTGGTGGCTGATACCAGATGGTGTTTACTGTCCTCCAGGTTTGAGGAGCCGTCTCCCCCGAGCTGTGGCTTCTGCCACATTCCGTATGATGAGCTCAACATGCCCTTTCCTGCCCAGCTCACCTACTGTTACCTCTGCAGGCGACAAAAGGTCTCAATTGGGGGTCCAGTGCATGAATGTTGTGTGGTGGTGAAAGAAAATAGGAATTGATTATAACAATTGTTATGTTTTATTCAAGGTTCCCGATGTGCTCTTCACAACCATCAACCTACCAGCAGAAGCGGCTGTTACGGGGAAGGGCTGCCTTATCCAGGCCAGGTAAATCACCCCACCGGTGGACGCCTGCTGAGGGACGAGCCGTACACCAAAGTGATTTAATATGTGTCCTTAGACTGTGCCGTCTAAAGAAGAAGGCTCAGGGAGAAGTGAACGCGACAGCCATCTCCAACCTGCTGCCATTCATGGAGTACGAGCTGCACACTCAGCTGATGAACAAGCTGAAGCTGCGGAGCATGAACGCTTTGTTCGGGTTGCACATACAGATCAGCGTCGGAGAGAACATGCTTCTGGGTCTGGCTGTAAGTTGACATTTGAGGTTAATAACTTAATCAGCAGGACAATTATTTGCTGCATTTTCTTTAAAAAAACGTGTGTGTGTGTGTGTGTGTGTGTGTGTGTGTTCAGTCTGCTACAGGCGTGTACCTGGCAGCCCTGCCGCCACCAGGGGGTATCCAGATTGCAGGGAAGACTCCTGGTGACCTGAGCGCTGAGCACCACATCCTCACCATCCAGAAAAGGATCAATGACACCATAGCCAAGAACAAAGAGCTGTATCAAATAAACCCACCGGTGAGACATGCACGGACAGTAATTAATCCAAGGACGACCAGGCTGAGTGTCATGCTGACCCACGGCGCATACTGGACATTTGTAAAACTTTGGGAACCTATTCTAACCAATACATTTAAAACGGTGTTTTAAGATGTGTTGGAAACTTATTTCCCTGATAAATCTTGGAATATTATTAATTTACCTAAAACTTACATCCATTTCATGTTTCAGCGATAATACATTTGCATATATATAGCTGGCCATTAAATACGTGAGAGTTGTGACTATCACATACTGTGTTAAATCAAGTTGATAGTGTTGTCATTCCTTCACACAAACCAATACATTTCATGCAGAACTGTTTCCCTTATTTTGGGTTTAGTTGTTTCAAGTGTTTAAATCATGTCCGAGATCATACATTCTAAGTAGTGTGTTCTTTGTGAATCCTGAAAAACTTACCCCTCTTGTCTCTCTCTGGTCATTAAAGAAATTATTTGCGCTGGACCCTGAGGTATTCTGCGACATAAACATGGTACTGAGCCTGCCACCTTTTAGCTGTGAGACACAGCAAAGCATGACAAATATTTCACTGTATTAATCCCAATACTACCCCACTGTTACTACAACTGTATGGCCGTTCTAAACTGGGGACATTTGGGAGCAGATAGATGTGTAACCCATTCCAGTGTCACCCTTTGAGGGTAAACCACTGTCGACTCATTTTTTCTGTGTTAATGTACTTTTATTATGACCATCTACTTGGCCATTCACACTCACATCCGTGTATGATATTTACGGTGTGTGTGTGTGTGTGTGTGTGTGTGTTTACAACACTCTTTATTCTTCAAGATCCATATGCAACATTATCCGTGTGTGTGTGTGTGTGATGGTGAATCTCATTTGAGTACTTGAGTGATTCCAAGCATGTGGTGTGTTATTAGCATATACTTCTTCTCCATGTACAATCTGGACAGATGTGCTGCTGTGGTCTTCTGGTGTTCACTTTGACGTCCCGTCCGCTCTGGTTTTTCTTGTCCCTCTGCTCGCAGGAGCTCACGGAGGAAGTGCTCGGTTCTCCGGTTCCCGACTCGAGGCAGCGATCCAGACTTTTCCGCTCCCACTCGGAAAGCTCAGACGAAGTGTCAGAGTTGGACCTCTCGCACGGCAAGAAGGACGCCTTCGTCCTCGAGGTGTGTTTCTTCAAAAAAAAATACATTCATGCGCAGCTCTTTACGTGAAGTGACTCCATTTGGTTACGTTTGCGTAGATTGATGACACTGATGCTGTGGAGGACATCCACTCCCTCCTCACTGATGCCCCTACGCCCACAGGTTTGCGCCATCTACAAACTTCAAAGTAATTGCAGTGCGTCATTTTGCACTGCGTGTGTGAAGTTAGGCTTTGACAAATGTAATTATTCTTCATTATTTGTTGTATTTCCACTTGCATATCTTCAGGTTTCTACAGCTGCAACACAGAGATCATGCCTGGGATTTACAACTGGACTTCAGGAGTTCAGGTTACTATATATACAACATTATATAGTCTCCCTTACAGCAAATTGTTTCCATACACAATATTTCATGCATGTAGATTTTGCTATTGTGCACATTTGGTATTTTTCCATGAGTATAGGCCTCTACTGTTACAATGAGCTACAATTTGCGATTAAATTACCACGAAAGCAGAGTACACATTAACTGTAATTTAGGAAGTTAAGCTCTTTTCTCTTTTTTGAAGGTGAATGCCATTTGTTTATGTTACTGTCTTACAGATGTTTACATCTGTGAGGGTCTTTAGGTTGAGTAACGCCAATCTTACTAACCAAGGCTTGAACAAGATCTTCACTGACCTATGTGAGAATCTGCTGAAGGTGCGAAGCCATTATTGATCAGTTGGTGTTCACACCGTATGCACTGCGGTGTTTGTCCTCCGTAATGGGCATGTCATGAACAGTTTGCCATGAAACGTGCAGTGGTTGCCATGATAAAAGTCATTTCATTTGGTTTGTTTCAGAGTTTTTACTTCAAGTTGCGCTCTATGATCCCCTGCTGTCTGTGTCAGCTCAACTTCACCGTAGCAGTGCCAGAGGAGGAACTCATACAGGTGGGAGGTTTCAGGACATCTTTGGTTTGTGAAATTGCGAAAAAAACAGTTTTGAATATATAAATTGAAATATTTCTTACATCTCCCGGACCTCCCCCTCCCACCTAGGTCACGGTGACAGCCGTTGCCATGACGTTTGATAAAGACCAAAATCAGGAGATGACTGCAGACAAGCCACCCGCCAAAGGTCCGTCTGGTTTAGGGAGATTAATTTCCTAGTATAGTGGAGATATGCAGACAAGACATCTACTGTATCTTTGGACAATGTTATAGCTGTATCACTGAGGGGAGCTACTTCATCCAATCCAGTTTCACAGCTAAAATACGCTCGTAACAAAATTCAATAAACCTTCCTGGTTGCAGAAACATCAAATGCCTTTCAAGAGTTACGTGTAACCCATTTAAGAAACATCACTTCTGTTGTGTGTATCAGGAGGCAACGAGACTGAAGAGCAACTGCAGTTTCCCTTGGAGTTATGTGCAGACCCATCGTCCGCCAACTGCCAGCCAGCATCCAAAGCCTCAGGTAAGAATTGTTTCTGAATTGCCCTAACCTTCCCAGTGCTGCTTCCCTAGCAGGCATTGCCCCTCCACTAACAACTCTATGCACAGTCTCTTTAGTCACCCCAGCTGCAAAACTCTGCCAAAATCAGCTGGTGATGGTTCGTTCACCAGGTAAACAAACAGTGATCTGACCTAGACTGGTGTATTCTCTTTTTGGTGTGAACACACATGACCGCGTGTGTGTGTGCGCTCCTAAAACCGCATGGCTTACTTTTTGGTCACATGAATTGAACACATTGATTGTAAGCACTGATTATAGGTGACGAGTTCTGATTTAAAGGTGAAAGCCAAGTAAAACATGTGTTGTAAGCCCTGTGGCGAGGACAAGGGAGTGATCCTGAACCCTTTTCCCCTCCCTGCCATGTGCAAAGGTAGACTGTAATATCTGTGTGTGACAGGTGTGCCAGAGTGTTCCAACTTCTCATCCATAGGTGAGCTCCCTTTCCCTCAACCATCCCTCCGTGCTACCAACACTACTACACTGCCCTGTTTTGACTTTTCATCCCTTCGTCTCGGACAGTTATCATGCACCACCCCCAAACCTCATCCACTTTTGTTCTTTTCTGTTCGTTTTTTTGTGTCGTGTTTTTATTATTTTTTTTCTCTCTTGTTGTTGCGTTTGTGTATGTTTGGGTTTGGGCCTGTGTGTGCGTGTGTGCGTGTGCGTGCGTGCGCGTGTTTGTGTGTGTTTGTGTGTGTTCTCTTCAGCTGCCTCCGTTGATTACGGTTCCTTTGCAGACAGATGCAGCACCTGGCTAGAGCTGCTTAGGCTGAAAGCTCACACCATAAGACGTGGATCAGTTAAGACAAGTAGGAGGACACGGTCTCTAGCACACTCTGGTGATAATACCCACGAATACAGAACACAGTTTTCAAAAGCAATCCGAGACATACCTACACACACATACACTCACACACAAATGCTTACAAGCGCTCGCAAACACTCACACACCCCCCATTCATGCCGCTGGGGGCGGAGCATCGTAAATCAACCACCAGCTTTTTAGCTAGAGTGTGAACGTTGAAGCCCCGCCCCTTAGAGGGATCAACAATCCGAAGCTTGGCTTGTAAAGACCTGCAGCCACTGCAACCACAATGACAATTTAGAAGGAAATCTTTTCTTTTTGCAGCATGTTTAGATGTTGGATGGGTTTCAGAAATGTGATGTTTATCATACTAATTCCTTTGATTTTCTCTGCATTTGCATTATTGAATGTGCTTAAGCTGCCTAAACTTCTAATCTGTGGCCATATTTTTCACATACAATCATAAGATAGAGGTGGGGAGAGCCGGTTTGAGTGGAGGGGGGCAGGCGATCGTTTTTTCTGCAAGATCATCTGGTGTCATTTTTAGTCTGGTACACAGTATGGAAACTACAATCTGATGTGTGGCTCTGAAGGTTCCTGGTTTGGTGGATGTGAGCCGCATCAGGTGAATTTGCAGTAGGACAATGGAGCCTCTTTCACACTCTGGCTTGTGTACATGTGCCCAGCTCAGCACTTAGCTGTCTCTGTCCGTCTCCAATTCTCAAGCCTCTTTCACTAATTTAAACGGATATAAATGTTCTCTCATGTACTTCACTGTACTGCAAATCCTGTATTCACACTTGTAAACACAAACAGCTGTGCCCAGGTCTGTCGGTCTGTCTGCAGACACTGTTTAACTGTATTGTCCGTTTGCTACAACTGCATGATATGCATGGCAGCGCACGCTTTCCAAGTGATTTTTTTTGGCTCCACACTGACAACTGACAAACTTAAGTGCACATGTGTCACTCCTGCTGTGGACATGCTAAAAGGGTAGCCTTTTTGCACGTACATTCCACATTCACATTTCTTTCGGCTTTTAGAGTTCATATCTGCTTTTCACTTTCCAAAATTTTTGAGTTTTTTTTTGCTATCTCCATTCTCTTTCGACTTCCCTTGTTTTATTCCCACTTCTCCTTCGGACCTCGACATGCTCTCTCTGAACCTGCAGTCTCCTCTTTGGAGCGCTCCAGTCCGCTGCCAGAGGGCCGCTCGCGCTCGCTGCGGTCCAACCGCTCGTTTGGGGGGATTTCCGTCACCGTGGTGAAGATGACGCCGCTCTCGTTCCTACCCGGGACACGCATCATTAAATACCTCGGGATCATCAACATGTTTTTCATCAGAGAGACGACATCTTTACGAGAGGTACGACTGCGAAAGAGGCTACACATGCCCCCTGATCTGCCCCAAAGTGTAGGCATAGCTGTACAACATGTGGTATGTGTTTTTCGTCTGCAGGAAGGGGGTGTCAGTGGCTTCCTCCATACGTTCATAGCAGAGGTGTTTTCGATGGTTCGAGCCCATGTAGCTGCCTTGGGGGGTAATGCAGTGGTGTCTTATAGTATGAAAGAGTGTATGTTAATGGAAAATCCAAACAAGAACCAGGTAATCCTACACAAAGTATTTTCGTCTTTTATACATGATGATAGTACTATTGTCTGCATCCTCAGACTTCAGTTGTTGTGGTTTATTCTCCCTCTTTATTTCCTCCTCAAGGCTCAGTGTCTCATTAATGTGAGTGGTGATGCCGTCATTTGTGTCAGGGAAACGGACCAGGAGCCCACTCCCTCAACAGCGAGTATCTGACAGACCTGCACTAGTGCCACAGACGAGGCTACATGACAGCGGACCACAGAGACTCACGTTGTCTGCAGGACACACAATCTGAGCGAACACGCTTTCAGAGTCTAGCCGTCCAAAAATGAGTCACTTATGCCTGCCTTAAATCTCTGTAACCACAGATTTAGACCCAGGTAATAAAGAACAAATACTCACATACACTCAGAAATATGCAGTCTGTATTAATATGGTACTTGCATGTTTCTTTTGATTTTAAAGAACATTTGTGCAGAAGATACTGATGTAGCTCCCTTGGGAATTGGGTATTCTTGGTATTTACAAACAGTAGCCAAAGGACCCCTGCATTTCAATTTTGTATATGTATTTTGGACACTCATCCATAATGGGGTCACCCAAAGCTACTGTATATTGGTCATTCATTTGTTTGTGGACAAAAGAGCGGCAGCTATGACTATTTTTTTGCATCTACACCTCACAGGAGGAGTAATTAAATGACAAAAGGGATATAGAATGCCAACAGATTGTTTTAAAGTAGGCACATAATGACGATGGCGAGCAGGGTTAGGGTTCCTCAAAATAGAAAATCCATTTGAATTGAAACAACCCAGAGAACACTGTGATACCAATTCTTTATAGTTATATCTATTTCTTAATTAGTGTCCTGTCGTAATGTCTAAATTGCATTTCATTTTGTTGATGGATAATTATCTCAATTACAATCAAAGTGTTGCTCACAGTCATTATCCTACAGGGATCAAATGTCAAATAATGATCTCCGCTATATTAATAATAATGAAAACAAAAAATAGCAAGGGTTACATGCACATGTATGTATTTTTGTAGGATGAGAATTTTCCTGATTCTCCTTATTCCAGTGATTTATTTTATTCAAACCATTAGAATTTTATATTGCTTTGTTATAAAAATTGCTTATATTATATAAAGGATTTAGAGGGAAAACTTATGGGTGTAGGGAGTCATATGTGGTCCTTTTGGGTCTAGCACCAGAATGGGTTCAATTAAACCTTCAGCATTTTGTTCTGCACCTTTTGTCAAGTTGTGTTACTGTTGATTCATGCTCTGTATAACAGTCCTGCTACTAATCTCTACATCTTTGATGTTATTGTCCAATGCTGGAAAAAAGAACAGCATAATGGTGTAAAAGTGCCAGCTGAAAATAAACTGTAAATGTTCTCTAGTCAGATTTTAGTATTTTTCTAGGACAAAATGTATGAAAACTATAGCTCATTTAAACTGTGTAAGAATTCCAGATGATGCGCTGTCAGAAAAAAAAGTGGTACTCTAATCTGTTAGTCTGATCAGCCGCGTTTCATATATTGTGTCTAAAACTTGAATGTACATACATAGATGCAGACCCACTTTTTATCTTCATCTGTTCAGTCATGCACAATAAACGCAGTCAAACCAAAACTTTGAATATAACCTTTTTTTTATTTCTTTAACAAATAAAGTAGAAATGTAATGTGGGCCCATTTTTATTCAAAACCAAATTTAGATTTGATCAGTTTGTGTGTTTGTTTTGATCGTAAATCTAAAAACGTCAGCATCAAATGCTGACTCTGCCCGAGGTAATTACCCACAAGTCATTGCAATCTGACGTAAAAACTGGACCAGCGAAGGCGTGGAGACGTAAAAAATATAAACAAAGAGGTCGAAGGAGGAGGAAATCCGACTACTGTACATTCATTAATGAAATATTATTTTAGTCATCAAGGCGTTTGTGACAAAACATTATTTAAAATGTTATAATTTTATGAGAAAGGAGGCTGACAGACGTTCGAATAAGAGTAAAAAAAATAACATGAAATAAATGCGCTCGGTTGTAAATCATCTTGGAACGTTGTCATGGTGACGTAACGTGTGGCGGCAAAGTGCGGGTCCCATGTTGAGCCTTCAACGGAATTCAAACCGAGCCATTTAGCGGCGGAAGTCAGTTGGATCCCGGAGGGTTCAGGCTCGAAGACCGCAAACGAACAAACCAGCCAGTCGAGTCTGAACTTGTTTCAGCCGCTGCCAGTTAATGCCGCCTCCATCGTTGAAATAATTGCAGCGCCGTTCGGAGGCATCGGGGTGAACTTCTTCCCCGCTCACGTTACGTGTCTCCGGGATACACTTTTAATCACCCCCCCCTCCCTTCCTCGTTTTCCTCCGGCCGCAGCAGACAGCGGCTGTCCCGACCCCCAGCATCTCGGCCCAGACATGGGGGAAATCATCCAGCCGCGCCGCATGTTCCTCTGGAGCATGGCGGTTGTCTACCTGGCTGCTTTCGTGTCTCTCTACGCGCAGATTCCAGGTGAAAGGAGCCGGGAACCACTCGGGCTAACTGCGTGCGAGCCCACTTCGTTTACCGCTGCCGTGTGTTAGCTTGCTAGCTGGAAACTTGGCCGCTCTGTGTGTGTGCGTGTGTGTGTGTGTGTGTGTGTGTGTGTGTGTGTGTGTGTGTGTCTTTTCCTGTGGTGAAGATGACGTTTTTTTCTGGGGCTAACTTCATTAGCTGACCGCTAGTAATGTATTGTACTACAGTACCCACAACCCCCCGCGCTCTCTCTCCAACTGTTAAAAGTCGCTTTATTGTCACTAACCGAGCAGAAGCCCCTCGTCCAGGGGCTTTTAAAGATTTGTATTTGCCACACGTGCATTTCGGCACATACTTTTTCCAAAAGACACTAATTTTAAGCCATATTTTCCACATTCTACAACTTAAAACCAGTTACTCCATGACAGACTCCCCCTGGATTCAAATGCATGACATGTACAATGTTGGTCCCAACCTTAAAGGAATCACCAACCGCCTTCATGTGTGTCATAAATGATGCAAATGAAATACCGTTGCGTGTTCATTAACATCGTACCCATCTCCAGGCCTCTACGGTAATGATGAGCTGCTTCCCGCCCGATGGCAGCTGCGATACAGCGGTAAGTCTGTGGGGGAACTGCTGCTGTCCTCTCCCACCCTGCTGTGGCTGGGACCTCAGCTCGGCGTGGACACGCACACCGCCATGGAGCTGCTGTGCCTCGTCGGCGCAGCGCTCAGCCTCGCCGCCGTGCTGCTGGAGGCCCTCCGGGACAGCGTGGTGTTCTTCTGCCTCTGGGCCTTGTACCTGTCCATGTCCCAGGTGGGGTTTGGTACTTTTTTGGGGGGGGGGGGTGCTGTAGTTCCTGTCTGGTGACCTTTCTCTCTGTGGTTTTGCATTTCAGGTGGGCCAGGTTTTTCTCTACTTCCAATGGTGAGTTAATGTAAAAGGTTGTTTGCCTGTTTCTCATCCCCAGTCAGGTGTTACAGTTAAATCATTGTTGTCTTTGCAACAACACCATAGACCCCAACAAACTATCATCACTACCCTGGTTCCATTTCCCTCTTTCTCTGTGCCTCACTTGGAACTTTCTACTAATACATTTTTTTTCCTGCTGCTCTTTCTGTCCAGGGACAACTTGCTTCTGGAGGTTGGCTTCCTTTGTATCCTGGTTGCCCCTCTGACGTTGATCAGAGGGTCACGAGGGGTCAGAGAGCATGATCGTGTGACGTTCTGGCTGCTCCGCTGGTTGCTCTTCAGGCTCATGTTTGCCTCTGGCGTGGTGAAGCTGACCTCTCGTTGTCCCACGTGGTGGGGCCTCACGGGTATGTATGACATTTTTATGGGGGTCTGTTTGTGTTGAAGTTGAAAATCCCTGAAATTAAGACCTTTGTGTGACATTTCAGCCACAACGGACATCAGTGCTGTTTGTGGTCTTGCATTTACTTTTGTAAATGCAAGACCTCTATTTTCCAACATTCCTTTCTCACTGTTGTATTTAACAGCTCTGACGTACCACTATGAGACCCAGTGTATCCCCACCCAGCTGGCCTGGTATGCCCACCAGTTGCCCGTGTGGTGGCAGAAGCTGAGTGTGGTGGGGACCTTTGTGATTGAGATCGCTGCACCTCTGCTTTTCTTCAGCCCGCTGCGCAGACTCCGGCTCGGGGCGTTTTACCTGCAGGTGGGAAGGATTTTAGGCTCTGAAATTAGCAAGTGTAATAGAAAGGGTGGCCTTTACGTAAAGGGTTGTGTTTTAGTAAAAAAAAAGATCACATGTCACCCTTCTCAAATAGCTGCCTGGTTGTTTGCAGCTGATGAAATGTATTGATATTGTGTTATTTATTGTGTAGGTGTTGCTTCAAGTTCTCATCATTTTGACTGGCAACTACAATTTCTTCAACCTGCTGACATTGGCCCTGTGTCTCTCGCTTCTGGACGACCAGCACGTCAACTTCTGGCTACGCAAGGCAGACAAGATCAGCAACACGGGTGAGATAAACGTTATCTGGGTACATTGGATTTGGACATTTGATTATAAGGTGAATTATAATTTAGGGAGACCCAAAATGTGTCTTTAGTCCATTCTATAGACATCTATGTTATAGATTCCCATGCATGTTGAAATGTATTTGTCATCAGCGGATGTGAGGATATTAAACACCCACCTTCACATCAATAAAGGATAAATCTGAATTCTACCTACAGAAGAACGCACATACGCTTCAATTTGGGCTGTAGTTGTATGTCCATCCTGCCAAAGTTCCCTCAGTGGAGCATCATCCCGCTCTCTCTCTGATCTGCTCAGACTCCAAGCTGAGGTGCTGGTTGTGTTACCTGCTGGAGGTCGCAGTCTGGTCTCTCATGATCCTCGGAACGATCGTATGCTTTGACCTTAAGCCGAATACAACAAATAACGGCATCTCGTCCAGGACAGGTAATTGTGTGTGTGTGTTGTGTGTACATCTATTTCCATAGAAAAAATGGCATTTTGAAGTGCATTGTCTACATCTGTGGCCTTTCAGCATTCACATACCACCAGTTTAACCAGTTTCTCAAGACTGTCACCATCCCCTGCATCTGGATCGCGGTCCTCTCTCTTACCTGGGAGATGGTCACCGCCATGTTCAGGTAGGACTCCCCCCTGTGTGGCGGCTGGATCACGTTGCATTCTCTCCTATCGTTCAAACTTGGCCTACGTGACGTTTTTCTAGGTGCACGTGTGTCTCCGGTTTCCTGAAGAGGTTTTGGGGAACTTTGCAGTGGGCCGTGTTCGCCACTGCCACCGCTGCCATGTTCACCATCAGCCTGGTGGGTGTCCAGTATTGATTTCAAGTTCATATCCTCCAGCTGTCACTCGGTGTGCCGACTGTCCTTTTGTTCCCAGGTGCCCTTCACCTACATCGAGTATGACTCTAATGTCAGGTTGTGGCCCGGAGTGCGTCGGGCTTATGAGCTGGTGGATCGCTACCAGCTGGTCAATTCGTATGGCCTGTTCAGAAGGATGACCGGGGTCGGGGGACGGCCGGAGGTCGTCATCGAGGGAAGCAACGACCAAGTCTCGTGGACAGTGAGGGAAAAAAAAAAAATGATCATAGACGATCTAAATGTTTGTATTTATAAACACGCTGCACAATTTGCTACTGTATGTGTTTCTTTTCACTGCTTTTAGGAGATCGAGTTCATGTATAAGCCAGGCAACCTAAGTGCGTCTCCTGCCGTGGTGACACCTCACCAGCCCAGGTTGGACTGGCAAATGTGGTTTGCTGCGCTCGGGGATCAGACCCAGGCTCCGTGGTTCACCAGCCTCATGTACAGACTCCTGCAGGGAAAGACCGATGGTACGCCGCCTCTAAGTGCTAAACCTTATTGTTCTAACCGTTTTCTGCCACTTTTTGCCCTAAATGACGAGTCAACACAGAATCTAATGGGGCGGAAAACAACACGCTCAGAGGATCGCATGAGTCATGGAATCGCTTGTGACGTGAAAATCTGACTCAATTTAAAAATATACCTCAAGTAATGTGTTTGTTTCCAGTCAGCAAGAGCGTGGAACGTATCAACGTCCTGTGAGGAGCCGAAGGCAGCTTAAGGCGGAGCTGAGGGGTCCTACAAGTCACAAAACAATAATGGCTCTGAGAGTGTAGTGTAGCTGCTGCATAGCTTTACTTATAGCAGAGCTCTTAAGTAGTTACCCATTAAAAAAAGAGTGAACGTCACTGAAGTCCTTTCTAAATAGAAAAAACGAAACGAAAACGAATGGCGAAGAATACAGAAACAAGCACCCACTTGCACTGTGGCGCCAACTTCACTTTGATGAAAACAAAGGTTATCATGGCTTAGTATCTGTGATGGGACGTTAGTGTTAAGGTTTTGGAAGCTCTCGAGGGAGGCCTCACTCCTTGTTCTCGTCCCGGCCGGAAACGAGGACACGAATGAGTCAATTCGTTTAAATTCAAAAATCAAAAAGTATTTAATGACTAAACAACGTAAAAGGGATTACAATTACAAAGTGAAATACTAAGCGAACAGTGGAATATTTCGCGAAATAGAGAATCCTCTGAGCAAGTCTAAAGGGACTTATCAAAGCGGCTGCAGGAGAAGTTCTAACAGTCTTTCCCCGCCATGGTCCTTTGAAAACTCTTGAGGTGTGTCTTCCTTGGTGCATTTGAATGTCATTGGCCTCTTCTCCAAAGGGTCACCTCCTCCATTGTCCCTTCCACGTCGAGGTGTGAATCTGCAGCTGTAACCTGAAACCTCTCTGTACCATCTGTCCCTCACATTCCAATGCACTCAATGTAGATACATTCGGCTTTATGCCTCAATGAGTGAATTTAACAAAGCATACATTGTTTAAGTCTTCATCTTATAACTAGTACACTTTCATTACAACAACCCATCACTAATGATCACCGTTCATCACACTTCATCATAAGATCTAAAACAGTTCATGTGGTTCAATTCTCAAGACATTTGCCTCAGTCGGCTGCCTTGCAATAAGTTGTTCATTTTATTACCTGACAGGAGAAAAAACTCCCAAAAAACCCTTTTTGGGGATAAAATTGGGAGAAATCCATAAAGAACGGCAATTGGCATCCGTCCCCAGGTTTTAACATCACATTGTGACAGAATGTTAATGTGTACAGTGTTTATATGATTTAAATGACTATGAATTGTGTTTGATTGAAATTGCATTCACTTAATCTAACATGTTAATGTAATAACTAATATCTAATAACACACAAACTATAATTCTAACACTAAACATTATTACACATACTATAATGTCCTGACTAGGGGTGCACTTCTGGCTTAAATCCCTAACAATTTACAACATACATTCATTTTGTTTGTCCATTTAAACATCAAGGCATTCCCAGGAAAATACACATTTATAGATTAGCAAAGTTCAGATGTCATATTTCAAGGTCAAGAAAATCCAAGTCATACCAAGGGGCTGAAGAGCCGCGGAGAAATTTACACGTCAACTGATGTTGGTTTTCTTAAACAGCAGTGGCTTAAAGTGTGTGTGTGTGTGCTTGTCTGTGACTCAGCAGTTTTGCAGTGATACCTTGTAAGCTCAGTTTCCAACACCGTGAGCCTCGACTCCGTCCAACATGTGCACTAATACGCCTCCTATCTATCCTAGCGTGTGATCCATCATGGCCTGTCGGAGCGTGTGAGAGTGTGCCTGTGAGCGTGTCCACGCTATCCAGACTCATCCTTTCTCCGCCCCCCCGATCTCGTAGCAGACAAAGATGCTTTGGCAGGGCTTTAGTTTTTCCGATTAAACAATATAGCAAAAAGTGTTGAAACTTTTCAATGCATTGACACGCCCTGTAGGTGAAAAAGGGGAGAATAAAACCTCTGTGGAGATGTTTATTATGGCAAACCCTACTAAGATATATGAGAGCAAAACTAATCCAATTATTGTATACAACTCCGATATTTTTATGCAATACTGCAAACTATACAATGATTTTAAGGCACCTTTTAGTACTCTTTTTTTAGTACGTGGCCATTTAGTGTGACACTTTTCATCGAATAGTTTTCATAACGTCTTTGAGTGACATTTTGTTTTTGTTTGTGACATACCAGATTATTTGTTTTTGTAAAATAATATACTATGACAGTGTTTTCTTTTATAACAATCGATTAGTATTCTTTGTCACATATATTATCGTATTTTATGACTCATGACTTTTTATACTGTGCCATTTTTCTGACGTGATTTTCACATTCTATACTGTAACATCTTCACGGCAGCTTTAAGGCATTAAACGAAGGGAACCTACATCACCAGGAATTAACAAGAGTGACATAGAAAAGTTCTACCTCCCCTTTAAAGCCTTAAAACGAGTCTCTTCCCCCCAGTTGGCCTCAGTTTGAAAACCTCTCAATTGAGCTGTCACTCTTCGGTAACACTTCAGAGGGAGGCCGAAGTGGCCCAGAGGCAAGGATTCCAGGACCTGACAGTCAACTTTGGGAACTCTGTACTAACGCACACTTTGACCGCTAAGAACCTCGGCATCACACTCGACAGCCAACTCTCCCTGACTCCCAACATCACTGCGACAACGCGATCCTGTAGATACACGCTCTACAACATCAGGAGAACACGTCCCCTTCTCACTCAGAAGGCAGCGCAGGTACTGATTCAGGCTCTTGTCATCTCCCTCCTGGACTACTGCAACTCCCTCCTGGCAGGTCTCCCTGCCACCGCCATCCCACCTCTGCAGCTCATTCAGAATGCAGCAGCTCGACTGGTCTTCAACCTTCCGAAATTCTCCCACACTACTCCACTCCTTCGCTCTCTTCACTGGCTACCGGTGGCCGCCCGCATCCAGTTCAAAACACTGGTGCTCACGTACCATGCTGTGAATGGATCGGGTCCAGCTTACATCCAGGACACCCAGTGAGCATTTTTTGGTTGAAAAGACGTTTAAAAGACGTCTATGCTCGACGTTGAAAAAACGTTGCAAAATGGTTTAAAAGTGAAAGTTGTTTCAACGTCTATTCGTAGACGTTGAAACAACGTCTATGTTTAGACCACATTTCAACGTGATTTTTTAATACGGTAATATTTCGTCTTCTCATGTGTGCTATATCATTATTTTAGAGGTTTAAAAAGAAACTACGTCTACATTTGTAAGTTTACCACCGATATTATAAATCACGGTGAAAACGGGTCTATACGCGAAAGTTGTTTCAACGTCTACGAATAGACGTTGAAACAACTTTCACTTTTAAACCAATTTGCAACGTCTTTTCAACGTCGGGCCATAGACGTCTTTTCAACGTCGGGCCATAGACGTCTTTTAAACGTTGTTTCAACAGATAAATTCCTCGATGGAAACTTACAAGTTACATACTTAGTCACAGTTGTCATGTTAACATCCCTTAACAAGGACAAACACATTATTTTATTAATTTGCATTTATCATAAATATAACACTATACATATAACACTTTTCCTAATTAAAAACAATACAAAAATAAAATATATTTCAGGGAAATACACTATGGATTTAAAAGTGCAGAAACAACATTTCTGTGTTCAACAACAAAAACTCTGTGTTTGTAGACCATTTTTCTGAATCATTTGAACTTCATTTTTAGATTCTGTAACAAGATGTGGCTGTGAGTCACTTGAGTTGGGATAGTATACCTGAAATCAGCTGCATCTCCCTCATCCTCACTTGATGATTCTTTGTGTAAAGGGAGTCAGAGTGCAGAGAACAGCCCTCAATTGCAGATTTCTCTGGTCAACGTGTTTATTCAATTCAAATCATTTTATTTTGTTCAGCTTTGCAATCTGTAAACATGCAACATCCTGTCCCAAAACCCCCAAAATGTAAAAAACCTTCAACCGGGAGAAACCTGAGGAGAACAATTTAAAGATGTACAGTACATCCGATTCCTACAACATAAATGATTCTAATATTGTGGATTATTAAGCCAGGGGTAAGGCAGGACCAGTGCAGGGACAACCATCATCAGACGTAACCTCCATCAGATGCAACCACCACCCGCAGAAACCTGTGAGGAGGGAAAGCACAACGGCAAAGTTGGTAATTTGGGTTTATGATGACAGTAATAAACTAATAATAATAATAACAGCAGCAGGTGCGTTAGAACACTCATTTATAGATGGTTTACTTATTACATTATAAACAAGATAACAATTAATCTGCAACTTATGGTATTTCTGGAGTAACATGTCCAGGTATATTACACAGTATCATGATTTAAGCAGCAGTAACTTACAATGTGTTGTCCCTCTTGTTTACAGAGCACAACTTGTTGAATTCAGCCCTTCACCCTTGCAATCTGTATTTAGCCCCCATTGCTTTAAAAACGTATCTTCAGTGTGAAATGCAATAACATGTATGGGTACAGCAACAACCTAACGCATTAGTAACACCAAACACACGAAAAATATTCTGGGATGTTTACTTTTGGTCCAGGTCATCATGCTGCACGCTATCATGCTGCAAGCTAGCATGCTAACTAGCAAACTACCTGCGCTAACGCTAACTAGCTTAACAAAAAGGACCGTCTTTCCCGTATCGGGTGGGCAGCACAAGTAAAACACCCGGTTATAGTTCCATGTGTGCTTCATCCAAACACTCCCGTACTTACAGAGTAGTGGAGCCGGTAGTCGTGGTTCTATCAGCCCGTTCATCCCAGTGAGCATTTTTTGGTTGAAAAGACGTTTAAAAGACGTCTATGCTCGACGTTGAAAAGACGTTGCAAATTGGTTTAAAAGTGAAAGTTGTTTCAACGTCTATTCGTAGACGTTGAAAAGACGTCTATGTTTAGACCACATTTCAACGTGATTTTTTAATACGGTAATATTTCGTCTTCTCTTGTGTGCTACATCATTATTTTAGAGGTTTAAAAAGAAACTACGTCCACATTTGTAAGTTTCCCACCGATATTATAAATCACGTTGAAAACGGGTCTATACGCGAACGTCTTTTCAACGTCTACGAATAGACGTTGAAACAACTTTCACTTTTAAACCATTTTGCAACGTCTTTTCAACGTCGGGCCACAGACGTCTTTTAAACGTCTTTTCAACGTTGAAATGCTCGCTGGTTGAAATGTGGTCTAAACGTAAACGTCTTTTCAACGTCTACGAATAGACGTTGAAACAACTTTCACTTTTGAACCAATTTGCAACGTGTTTTCAACGTCGGGCCATAGACGTCTTTTCAACGTCTTTTCAACGTCGGGCCATAGACGTCTTTTAAACGTTGTTTCAACGGATAAATTGCTCGCTGGAAACGTACAAGTTACATACTTAGTCACAGTTGTCATGTTAACAGCCCTTAACAAGGACAAACACATTATTTTATTAATTTGCATTTATTATAAATATAACACTATACATATAACACTTTTCCTAATTAAAAATACAAAAATAAAATATATATTTCAGGGAAATTAACTATGGATTTAAAAGTGCAGAAACAACATTTCTGTGTTCAACAACAACAATTCTGTGTTTGTAGACCATTTTTCTGAATCATTTGAACTTCATTTTTAGATTCTGCAACAAGATGTGGCTGTGAGTCACTTGAGTTGGGATAGTATACCTGAAATCAGCTGCATCTCCCTCATCCTCACTTGATAATTCTTTGTGTAAAGGGAGTCAGAGTGCACAGAACAGCCCTCAATTGCAGATTTCTCTGGTCAACGTGTTTATTCAATTCAAATCATTTTATTTTGTTCAGCTTTGCAATCTGTAAACATGCAACCTCCTGTCCTAAAACCCCCAAAATGTAAAAAACCTTCAACCTGGAGAAACCTGAGGAGAAAACAGCAAGGCAGTAGGTGTGTAGAGTATGAACAATTTAAAGATGTACAGTACATCCAATTCCTACGACAGAAATGGTTCTAATATTGTGGATTACTAAGCCAGGGGTAAGGCAGGACCAGTGCAGGGACAACCATCATCAGACGTAACCTCCATCAGATGCAACCACCACCCGCAGAAACCTGTGAGGTGGGAAAGCACAAAGGCAAAGTTGGTCATTTGGGTTTATGATGACAGTAATAAACTAGTAATAATAACAGCAGCAGGTGTGTTAGAACCCTAATTTATAGATTGTTTACTTATTACATTATCAACAAGATAACAATTCATCTGCAACTTATGGTATTTCTGGAGTAACGTTTCCAGGTATATTACACAGTATCATGATTTAAGCAGCAGTAACTTACAATGTGTTGTCCCTCTTGTTTACAGAGCACAACTTGTTGAATTCAGCCCTTCACCCTTGCAATCTGTATTTAGCCCCCATTGCTTTAAAAACGTATCTTCAGTGTGAAATGCAATAACATGTATGGGTACAGCAACAACCTAACGCATTAGTAACACCAAACATACGAAAAATATTCTGGGATGTTTACTTTTGGTCCAGGTCATCATGCTTCACGCTAGCATGCTCCAAGCTAGCATGCTAACTAGCAAACTACCTGCGCTAACGCTAACTAGCTTAACAAAAAGGGCCGTCTTTCCCGTATCGGGTGGGCAGCACAAGTAAAACACCCGGTTATAGTTCCATGTGTGCTTCATCCAAACACTCCCGTACTTACAGAGTAGTGGAGCCGGTAGTCGTGGTTCTATCAGCCCGTTCATGTCGCTCCGCTGCCGTAACTTCGCCTCGTCCGCTCGGAGCTCTGCAGGCGTCTAAGAACTCGCGCATGCGCGTTACAGATGTGAGCGGAGTCACGTGTTTACAAGTAATGTTTGAACCTGCCCGCATTATTATGTCTTAAACGCATCTTATTAACAGCACGCAGTCCGTAGTTTCATATTTATGACGTTTTAAGTGAAATATTAAATACGTTGAAATCACGTCTTCGCGTAGACCAAATTTCGCCGACCAGTTCATTAATTATTATGAAGATCTTAACGTTAATATCGTCTATCTTTCAACCTTACGTTACAACATGACACATTTGTCAACAAATTGATGTTTTCTGGCACGTTGATGTTTTATCCCATTTTTAGCCGGTTGAAAAGACGTTGAAATGAGGTCTTAGACGTTCAGACCTCATTTCAACCCGATTTCAACCATATTTCAACGTTGAAATTACGTCTTGTGCTCACTGGGATCCGCTGATGATGTAAAAGGAGCCGCAAACCAGGCACTGGCAGCAGGTGATGATAAAATGACCGTGTGATTCCTCAGATACAAATTCAGTAGTATGTTTCCATCATCACACATACTTTTTCTGGTTGCACTGATAACATGCTCTTCACTCAGGCGTATCAGTGTTCCCCATCGGGGTGGGGTCGGACTATGACAGGAGTGAAATTGCCATACTCGTCACCATGGAAACCAAGACAACACTCTGCACTTGAACAGCATGGATCAATTACTGATGTTGGAGACTCTGGACAACAGTTACACAGAGAAAATCTGCAGAGGTACTTGCACGCTTACATAAGGGTTACTTTTTTTCTGAAAATAATGATTGAATTATTTTGTATTGTTTTAATACATTACTATAATGTATATATGTATTTATACATTGAAGTATTTATTTAAAGTATTAAGTATTTACTTTTGTTCACAGCTGGTCCACCAGAACAGTGTGTTGATGATAATGGAAATGAGAGAAAGGTGAGTAACGTCTACAGAGGTTCAATACAAATTAGAGCTGTGCAGCAACCTTTTACAGCATTACTTGAAATTAATTGTCTGTTTATTGTTTCAGCCTGGTGAGTCATGGCTGCTGGAGGACGGCTGCCACACTGCCCTGTGTCACCCCAGTGGGGCAGTGACAGTACAAAGCCACAAAGTCAGCTGTGACAAACTGGAGCCGCCGGCCTGCAAGAACAACATGCCACCTGTCAGAGTCCAGGAGACCTGTGGCTGCCACTGGGAATGCCCTTGTATGTACATCTGAAGGATCAAATAGCTTCTGAAGTTCATAGCACCACATTTACTGTCTATATTAAGTGCAAACAATTTCCCACGTGGGCTGTTAACCCCGAGTGCTGGAGGCTTCCATACTATTTATACTGCCTATGAACAGATTGCGTGCTCCTGTACAATCACTCTCTCACTCATGCCTCGTGTGTTGCAGGCATGTGTATGGGCAGCTCCATCAATCACGTGGTGAGGTTTGATGGCTTGGCACTTAGGCTGGATGGGGAGGGTGTGTGCTCCTATACACTTCTCACTGTCAGCGGAGGCATCGGTGAAGGGTCAGAGGTGAAACTCCACAGTGGGCCATGTCAGAACTCGGCGAATTACTACCAGGTCTGCATGAAAGCCATAGAGGTGATCCATGGGCCACATAAACTGCTGCTGAAGGATGACATGACGGTAAGCTGTGTGGTCGGCTGGCCAGCGTGCCTTCGTGCTGAAATTGACGAATACACGTGAGTGTAAGAAATGTTTTTTTACTGGCCGTGTAATTGTTTGAGCAGGCAGTGATTGACAGGGAGGAACTCAGTCTGCCATGGCGGTTTGCTGGCCTCGAGCTGGTGCGATACAGAGGAGTGATGCTGCAGCTCAAGTCCGACCACGGCTACGTCCTGACTTTCACTCCCCGCAGCAACGAGTTTACCATCACACGGCATAGCTCCTCCACCGCAGAGGACACCGCTGGACTCTGCGGTAACAAAAACTAACAAATTTAAGTGTAAAAAGAGTCAGCCCTGATTTTATGCATTTATTTTCTTGCTGCCCAACTTTAAATTCTTCCTCAAACCACAGTTCTCTCTCTTTGTATCATTTTCCAGGGCCCTGTGGGGAGGAGAAGGGCAGCGTCTTGTTTTTATGTAACGGAAGCTCAACCTCTGACCAGCCGGGCTTTGTCTCAGATTGGACTGTTGCTGTAGACGATGGTGTGTGTCTCCCAAAGCGCAGGGCCGTGTGTGTGCTTGGAGCAGCGATGGGATGTAAGGCCCTACGTTCGCAGGTATTTGAGCCGTGCCATGATCACATTCCTGTGCAGGTGTTCCTCGCTAAGTGTGAGGAGCAGGCATGTGAGGAGTCAGATGTGTGCGAGCTGGTTTCTGCCTACGCACGCCTCTGCAGACAGAGAGGTGTGTGTGTGGACTGGAGGAGCACTGACCTTTGCCGTGAGTTCGTTTTTGAATTGTATTTTTCAATCCGATGAACAATGAGGGGGAAGCTGAGGTTTAGCCTGATCTCTGTGTTGCAGCGTTACGATTCCCGGGCTCCATGGTGTATGATGCATGTCGGACAGGGTGTGTGGAGGACTGTGGTAGCATACAGACGTTGCTAGGCGACTGGTTGGTTGCCAGCGGCAACGAGTCAGCCTGTATGGACACACCTACTGAGAGCTGTTTCTGTGCTAAAGGCACAGTTTTGCATCACGGACAGTGTGTATCGGCCGAAGCATGCAGCCAGTGTGTCGACCAACATGGACACGTGTATCCGGTGAGACGCGTGGAGGCTCCAATATGACTAACTTCTCATTTACAGAAACACAGTCCGACTGGATCGGGCCACCATCAAGTTGTTCACCAGTACAGTGGGTTGATGTGGTGCAGGGGTAGAGAGGGTGCGCTGGGAACTGTGAGGTTGGTGGTTCAAGCCCCAGCTGCATCATGTCCCATGCCGAAGTGTCCCTGAGCAAGACACTTAACCCCTAATTGCTTCCTTGGCAAAAATGTAATAAAAGCCATTGGTTGAAAATGAAATTTAACTTGCATTGGATAAAAGCGTCAGCTAAATGACCTGTAATGTAATGTAAAGTGGGCTGTGAGCGCCCTCTAGTGTTTCTTTTTTTTAAGCCAATAATAATTTTGAACATGGCTTGATGTTTTCGTACAGTACATGCAGAGTTGGGTACCGGATGAGAACCCATGTTTGATTTGCATGTGTTTGGACCAACAAAACATCAACTGCACTGCCCGGCCCTGCAATGATGTCAGAGGCAAGATTACTGCTACTTATGCTCACACAGTATAAAATACGTATATAAGCGTTGTCTGTTTGGATATGCCACTTTAATAATAATTAATCCGATTTATGTGTGTGCAGCTCCAGTATGTGGACCCTGTGAGATCCTGAGAGAGAAGAGGGGTTCTCAGTGCTGCCCAGAGTATGAGTGCGGTATGTAAATAATAATAAATAATAATAAACATTTGTTATTATTATTATTCAGTATTAGAGAAGACTAATCAAGTGAGAGCAGGAAGAACAGACTTGTCTGTGTTCAATAGGATATAACTGGAAACTAGGTCGCACCCAGAAGATATATTGGTGCTGAAGACCAGAATATATTGCTTACACATCAACAATGCAACAAAATATATGTCATATATTGACAGCAGAAAATAATGATAATTCCACCATCAGCTAATTCAAACTGGAAATCTTCAACTATTCATTGAAATCGTAATTGCTCTATACTGCAGGCTGCAGCTGTATGTCAAATATGTATCATGCATAAATGCAACAGACTGTCTCCCTGTGCCTTTCCAGCGTGTGATCTGGTGACTTGTGACCTGCCTGAAGTACCCCGCTGTGAAGACGGGCAAGCTGCGGTTCTGAAAAACCCTGGGGAATGTCAACCTATACACAAGTGCGGTATGCCATTAACGGATTCTCTGTGATGTTCGAGCACGCAGACCTGAAACAGAGCACGCATCTATGTGATCTTCCATGTGTTTCTCTTCATCTCCACCCCCCCCTCGCTCGTAGTCTGCAAAAAAGGAGAGTGTTCTCTTGAACCTCCCGCCGCTTGTGCCGCACATCGTCAACTGTCGGTGAAAAAAACAAAGTGCTGCAACGTGTTTGAATGTGTGTGCAACTGCCAGAACTCTACCCACACCTGCCCTGTGGGGTTCATCGCATCCTCCTCTACCAACGACTGCGGCTGCACAGACACCACCTGCCTGCCAGACAAGGTGTGTGGCGAGTTGTGTTTTTGCTCAAATGCCTGTTTTCATTTATGTGTTTTTCCTGATGTCCTGTTTCGTTGTTTGTGCGTCTGTCCAGGTGTGTGTGGTTGGTGGCGTGGCTCACCCAGTGGGGAGTGAATGGGAGGAGGTGTGTCAGAAGTGCAGATGCACCCAGTTGCAGGACAAAGATACGTCACTGCACATTGCTCAGTGCGCGCTACCCGTGTGTGATCGTAACTGCCCTCAGGTGAGACACGCGCACACCCCAAACACAGCCCATTTGCATTATGCTCCTATAACTGTTAATCCGTACATATATTTATTACATATTTCAGGGCTCGACATACACTCCATTAAAAGGAGAAGTGCATAACGGCCATCTGTGTGGAGTCAAAGGGAGAGATGCGAGGGGACACGCTGTTTGGGAAAACCCTCAGACGCGTACGTGCAGAGACATCATACATGCCTGAATAATATGGGAAATCTATACAGCTTCATGTGATGTTTAAATAACAACAACAATCCTCTCTGCGTAATACATTTTTGCGGTGTTTATTTTTTTTTAGTAGGACACTTTCTTCTCTCTCTTATTCGATTTGAATCTAATCTCTGTTTCTTTTAATAGGTGGGAGAGATGTGGCCGTCTCCTCGTGACAAATGTGTTTTACATCAGTGTATGAAAGTGAAAGACGAACTGTTCATCTCTGCAACAAAGGTCAGCTGCTCTGTTATGGAAACGCCTCTCTGCCCGTTGGGAACAGAGTTACGCTGCAACACCCAGGATTGCTGCCCCAGCTGCCACTGCGGTAAACACAGACTCTCCAGTGGCATTGCGAGTTAGAAGAGTGTTCTTCAACCGGCATGCGCTGTATCATGAACTCACTATCGACTGAGGTGCAGTCACAGCGTCCGTCCAGCAGATGACTCTCTCCCATAAATGGCACCTCAGAGCCACTTATCCTGACCTCACCTCACAATGCCTGGGGTCTAATGCTCTGTTCAACAAATAGCATTTTAATTATTGGTGCTTCTTTTCTCTCCACAGCCCCCATGGATGTCTGTGTCCTCAACCACCCTGTCATAGGAGTAAGTTGTGCAGATAAAGAAACCTTTTCTTTTGTATGAGAACATTTTGAACGGTTCCTTCTATGCTCCACGTGTGTTTGTGCAGGCAGGCGACAGGCTGATGGTGGATTTGTGCACGCACTGCGAGTGTATCATTGAAAAGGGTGCCGTGAAGAAATACACTCTGTCCTGTAGGAGAATCAAATGTCCCACTTGCACTATGGTAAACATCTTCCCATTTTTATTTATTTACCACAACCATTATCATTTATCATTGTCATGACTAACCAACAAATACAAATGTTTGTCATGTTCATCAGCCGCAGACTTTTTAAACAACTGTCCACATTGCCTCCCGACTCATCATTAAATTGTGGCCATATCTCTTTCCATGATTCACTCCACCTACAGAGGTCAACCATGATACATTTATTTGAATGAAATGCTGGGGGACATTTGTCTTTGTAACTACATAAATGTTCAGAACGTTCAATACGTTTTCAGGGATACACTCTGCAGAAGGAGGATGATGCTTGCTGTGGCCGATGTGTTCCCACGACCTGCTTCATGCAAAGGCCAGACGGGAAAATGATCACAGTGCAGGTAGGTTCTTAGACGAAAACACAAGCGCCTTTCTCATGATCCATCTGCCACATTCAGAGCGCAGACATTGATGCTTTTTGATATTTATACATTTTTCTACAGACTACAGATTTGGGGATTGCACCATATTGTACCGGGCGATAGTATTTCAAACAACTGCTACCATGTTCTGTTCCACACTGTACTATGCTTGTTCCACGGATCAATACAGTTTGTGTACATCAGCCATATATTATTTTGATTTCATTTATTTACCTCAGTACATTTCAAAAAGATGCAAGCAGCACGCACGAATGCTGATCTACGCGTGGGCCTCTCTCTCTCTCTCCAGGTGAACACCACCAGCGAAGAGGGTTGCAGCTTGTACACGTGTGGTGTAAACGGTAAAGGGGATCTTGTCCTTCAAACAAGAGTGACCTCCTGCCCTCCTTTTGACCGTCAAATTTGTCTGGATCAAGGGGTACAACTGCTTAAAAAAATCTCCATCTCCCATTATTCCCACTCCTGCCTATGTAGATGTATGTATTACATTTTGCCTCTCCTGTTGGTTTCCAGGGGAAAATTAGCCGGATCGGAACAACTTGCTGTGAGATGTGTAAGTACATCTGGTGCCTTTGCAATACTGTACTGGGAAACAGCCGGATATTCAGACTTCAGTAAGTAGTGCGTGTGTGTGTGTGAGTGTGAGTGTGTGTGTGTGTGCGTGCGTGCGTGTGCGTGCGTGTGAGTGTGTGTAAATGACCACTAGCAGTGTTCTTTTATTTTGATGATCCTGTTTCCTACTTAGATTTTATGTGACTTTTATTTTGACATCATGCTATCTGCTCACGTGATTAATCGCTCGCGCTCATGCTCACGCTGACATTTGTTTAATAGAAGACACGAGAAGCTAGCTAGCAACTTAATAAATTAAGCTAATGGCGGCGGACTTCCCTGAATGACCACTTTATAGCACCCTTTGATATGCGGAGCGAGGTATGTGGTTCATTGTAATTGTAATTCATGTAAATTCATTTCATATAATGACTGTTGCCTGCTATGCCGTTATCCATGTATGCTAAAGTGCATTTGTCAAGGGATTATTTTGTATCTGGCTAAATTGTTATTTGCCTTTTTAGTTTTCACGGTGTTGGTGTTGGTGTTGGTGCTATGCACACTCAACTGAAGTTGAAGGGATGCTACAGTGAAAACTCGACCATGATGTGGAGTGAAAATTCAACTCAACGTTAGAAGGATTGCCGTCCGCCATTTGTGTACAAGACTGCCACCTGCTGTTCAAACGCCCTCACTTCAACCGGCACCCAGGCAAGATCGGTCCTCTTTGTTTGCTGATTGCTGCATTCAACCACAGGGACTCTTTGATTACGAACAGTGATGTTTGTGTGGGGGACTGAAGTCACCTTTTATGAACAATGTACTGTATATTTGATGCTCTAAACTAATCGTAAAAAAAAAAACAGGAAAAAAAAAAACTATTGAACAAATTGAACCTGTTAAATGTAAATTCTTTCATGGGTAAATCTGTATGATAGCATTCCTTGCTAAGCTGTTTGTGTGTTAGCCTACATTTTTTGTTGATGATAATCGCCCCAGTGCATGTTTGATATTAAGTACTTGAGCTATTAGTCTATTTCAGTAATTGAACTGTAGTTTAGTAGTTCAAGATAACCAAACAGCAACACAACTTCAACAAAATGTCACTTAATGGAGAGGAGGTAGCTAGCACACATGATCCACCGATGAAAACGGATAACCCAAAGCCAGTCAGGTCTAGTTCACGTGAAAGAACATTTACAGAAAGGGGATTAGAGATGCACAAACAGGAAGCCATTAAACACAAGAAAGAATTCATGAAAGCTTATGGCCACTGGAAAGAAGTTGCAGGAGAGATTAGGACCGCACTAAAATCATTCTGTTCTCAAGATGAACTAAATAACATCAGAGAAGAAATCCAAAGTCGACACAGTGCAGTAAGTGAACGTTATGAGCCCATTCAACGCAACCATGATGCCACACCAGACATGTACCGAAAATGGATGCTTGTATAGCACTCACTGCAGAGATCAGCGAAATAATAGAGAAGCGGCTTGAAACTGTAGATGAGGTCTTCAATCCAGAACTTGAGAAACTACGAGTGAGGATGGCACTTAAGAAGGATGAGTATGGATCTATCTTCGGACACACAAAGACAGATACTGTACTCTCTCTGGCAGAAAATTCCATCCACTCCCAGGGCTCAAGCAAACATCTAGATGCAGGAGCAGAACTCGCAGCGCAACAAGAAAAGGCTAAAGCAGTATATCAAATACAAGCTCAAGAAGAAGTTCTTAGCAAGTTAGAAGAAGAGAAGCAGCTAGTTCTCAAAAGGTTAGAAGAAGAAAGGCAAGTAGCTCTTAAAAGGATAGAGGCAAATATGCGTCAGGAAAAGAAAAGACTACAGCAAATTTAAGCAGAGTCAGAAGTAAGAATAGCAGAGGCGAGAGTAAACGCATACGAGAGCTTTGAACATGACTTCAGAGACTGTCTAAAAGAGACTGATCTCACAGTTGAATTCAAAAGCCAGCTTAATCCAATGGCCAACGCATACCAGCCTCCACAAGCGCACGCCAAAGCGCTAGCATCTCATGAGAAAGATAGCCTTACTCAAGCTCTCATTAACTCACTCAGTATGAATCGCCTGCCTGCTCCTGAGCCACCAAAGTTCTCTGGCGAAGCCCTAAAGTATGTAGACTGGGAAGATGTCCTTCATGGCCCTCATAGACCACCAGCCTCTCCCCGCTCATGAAAAAATGTTTTACTTAAAAAACTATCTGAGTGGAGAAGCACGTAAAGCTGTAGAGGGATTCTTCTATAGAAACTCAGAAGAAGCATATCATGGGGCCTTAAAGGTCCTGGAAGAAAGGTACGGAAACCACTTCATTGTGCAAAAGGCTTTTAGAGACAAGCTCATGAAGTGGCCCAAGGTTGGTACCAGTGATCCTGCTGCACTTCGAGAGTTTGCTGACTTCCTGCAAGGATGCGTTGAAGCGATGCCTCATGTGAAGGGATTGGCCATCTTGGACGACTGTGAAGAGAACCACAAGCTGCTGAAGAAATTACCTGACTGGATCACACGAAGATGGAGCAGAGTCGTCACGGAAAGGTTGGACGAATCCGGGGATTACCCAAGCTTTTCCTGTTTCACAAGGTTCATCCAGAAGGAGGCTCGGATAGCATGTAACCCTGTCGCCTCTCCACTTCTGATCAAGGCCACAGATGACAGGCAGCCCAAGAGAGCTAGAGCACTTCACACAAACACTAAAAGGAACAATCCCACAGAAAATGTTGAGAAAGTGTTCAGCACAAAGTCGAAGCCACCTTGTCCTATCTGCAAAGATGAGATGCACGGCGTCGTAAAGTGCCCTACATTTGCAGCAAAATCTCTGGAAGATAAGAAAGCCTTCATACGGGAAAACAATTTGTGCTACGGATGTTTGAGAAAGGGACATAACAGTAAGGATTGCAAAACGCGACACACTTGTGTCATATGCAGCAGACGTCACCCCACCTGTCTACATGAAGAGAGAGAGAACCGATCTGTGGAAACAAAAGAGAAACAGTCCACTTCCACAGATAAAGACGTTAGTCAGGAAGAGATCAAAGTGACGTCCCATGCAGTGACGCAGCGCGTCTTTGCCACATCAAGCATCGTCCCTGTTTTCATGTCATCTGCAAATGAACCACAGAAAGAAGTTATAACGTATGCTCTTCTAGACACGCAGAGTGATTCGACATTCGTCTTGGAAGACCTACTCGAAGAGCTGAACGTGGAGACAAAACCAGTACAGCTTAAATTGAGCACCATGACAGCTGTTGACACACCCATAGCAAGCAAAAGTGTCTGCGGTCTACAAGTTCGAGGACTAGAGTCTGGAAAACAGATTCAGCTGCGCCAAGCCTATATTCGTGGTTTCATCCCGGTCGACAAGTCCTACATTCCGACTTCCGAAACAGCGCTGCTCTGGCCTCATCTAAAGCATCTAGCAAACAAACTTCCACTGCTGAAGGACTGTGAGGTGGGACTGTTAATTGGAAACGATTGCCCGTTGGCGCTAGCCCCCCAGGAAGTCGTCATAGGAGGCGAAAATGATCCATTCGGCCAGAGAACGGAACTCGGCTGGAGCATCGTAGGCTCATCCAATCCACATCTGGATCGCCAGGGAAGCCAGAGGTTCGTCCATCGAGTGACAGTGAAGGAAATACCAGCGCCATCAACCAATGACGTGCTGAAGGTCTTGGAATCAGACTTCAATGAAAGGAAGTATGCAGATAAAGACAAGTATGTGTCACAAGACGACGTTCGCTTCATTCAGCTCCTGAGTGACAACATAACTCAAAGGAAAGATGGACACTATGAAATGCCCCTTCCTTTCAAGAGTACAGAGCCACCTCTGCTACCAGACAACAAGAAGCTGGCAACAGTTCGACTGCAGCACCTAAAGAAAAGATTGAAAAATAACAAGCGGTATGAAGAGCAGTACAAAGCCTTCATGAAGGATATGATAAAGAAAGGTGACGCAGAGCCAGCCTCTCCTGCGACAGAACAGCAGACTACGTGGTACATACCACACCATGGGGTGTTCCACCCCAAGAAGCCAGAGAAGCTAAGGGTCGTCTTTGACTGTTCAGCGAAGTTCCGTGGTGTCTCACTAAATGATACATTGCTAAGAGGTCCTGACCTGATCAACTCTCTCCTTGGAGTGCTCTGTCGTTTCAGGAAAGAGGCTGTAGCCATCATATGCGACATCGAGAAAATGTTCCATCAGTTTTACGTTTCTCCTGAATTACGGAACTACTTACGGTTTCTCTGGTGGGAGGATGGAAACCTCGAAGCAGAGCCTCAAGAGTATCAAATGGCTGTCTACCTATTCGGTGCCGCTTCGTCACCCGGATGTGCCAACTTTGGCCTGAAGTACTTGGCACGTCAACACAAGGAAGAGTATCCATCAGCATCAGCCTTTGTTGAAAAGAACTTCTACGTCGATGATGGGCTTATCAGCGTCCCCTCCGTAGAAGAAGCAAAGGAGTTAATTGCTGAAGCACAAGAGTTGTGCAAGAAAGGAGGTTTGCGTCTACACAAGTTCAACTCAAACGAAAGATCAGTTCTGGACTCTGTGGACCCAACTGAGAGAGCAGTCACATCTGAACCCCTAAATCTGGACCTAAATGCAGCTCCAGCAGAACGTGCTCTTGGTGTCCAGTGGTCCCTTGAACACGACACCTTCAGCTTTAATGTAAACCCACAACCCAGGCCATCCACACGTCGCGGAATCCTATCCGTCATTGCTTCTTTGTACGATCCAGTCGGATTCGTGGCTCTGTTTATCTTAACTGGAAAGTGCATCCTCCAGGAACTGTGTCGTCGAGGCATTGACTGGGATGACCCACTTCCCGAAGACTTAAGTCCACGGTGGGAGAGTTGGAAGAGCGACCTACAAAGGCTGAAGGAAGTCTCAATACCGAGATGCTACCAACCACAAGGCTTCTGCAAAACTGTCACAAGGGAACTGCACCACTTTTCCGATGCCAGCAATATAGGATATGGCTCGTGTTCCTATCTGAGAAGCAAAAATGAAGATGGTGAAGTTCACTGCAGCCTCGTGATGGCAAAGGCTAGAGTTGCGCCTACAAAACTCACAAGCATTCCAAGATTGGAACTTTCAGCAGCAGTGGTCGCTGCAAGATCAAGTGTCATGCTGAGAAACGAGCTTGAAATGCCGATCCATGCAGAATTCTTCTGGACTGACTCCCAAGTTGTCCTGGCTTATATCAGTAATGAAGCAAGAAGGTTCCATGTCTTCGTTGCCAATCGTGTGCAAATGATCAGAGAGCACACCAGCCCCAGCCAATGGCACTATATAGACACAACAGAAAACCCTGCTGACCATGCGTCGAGAGGTCTAAACGCAGTGGACATCTCCTCAACAAACTGGCTATCAGGACCCAAGTTCCTCTGGGAACAAGAAATACATCCAGAGTCTCGCCTCACTCCTGAGTTGCTTGTCGGTGATCCTGAGGTCAGGTCAATGCAGGCGTTCACAACTAAGGTTGAACCTTCCGAGTCAGACTTTCTTACCCGTCTAAATCGATTCTCCTCCTGGTCAAAACTCCTGAAAGTCATTGCAAGAATCAAGAGGCTGAACTCAAAGCAAAATCATCCTGGCAAACCTGTGAGTGTAGAAGAACGTGAAAGAGCTGCCAAATCGGTAGTGAAGCT